ACCCAGAACTTCTGAAACGATGCTTGCCACTCTGCACAGAGCATACAAGTCTCTGTAATTCAGTTACAATTAAGATATGTGTCTACAGCTGATTCCAAGCCAGCAAAAGGCTGCAATATCTGCGTACATACATCTGCACTCTTAAACTAGATGTTGTGGTGTCATATGCCGGCTTTGTTGGACTAAGCGCCATCCATTAACTTTTGCTAAGAACGCCCATGAGTTTCGTATGCCTTTTAACACAGAGCCATCTGTAAAGATTATCACATCACCTGGGGTAGAATTGTCATGAATCATTTGTCAAACTTCTCATTCTGATTCAGACTGAAAGATATGCTATGTGATCACTGAATAATCCTAATTATTCTTCTTCTTTTCTTTAGTCCTGGAATGCCTTGCGGTGTCAGGGCAGAAAGAGATCTCTGGAACAGGCCCTGCAGTTTGCTTCATATAAAGTACTTTTCAGTGTCTCTGATAATTCTGCAGTCCATTGTTTGCATAGTCGACCTCTGGATCTGTTAGCTTGAATTCGTATAACATTGCTCTCTGTGGTGCCTTGTCTGATGTCAATCTTGTTACATGGCCAAATCATTTGATTTGCTGTCTACCTACAAAGTTCTGTGCAGACTCCCCACTTGATATCATCGTTCTGAAGTCGGTCATTCCTCATTACACCTAGAATAGTTTGTAAACATTTGCAGATATCACAGCTTAGCTGTAAACCTTGACAAAATATACCAACCACCATTAAAGGTGAAAGGAAAAAAGGTAAAAGTGAGAGGATCAACTTCATTACACCAGGTTTTATCCCATATGGCTCAGTCTCTCTTCACATAACAGCTAGCTGCCTGCAGAGAGCGCCACACAAAGCATGACCTCCGCATCTTCGGCGGCGATTCCCAGCGACCTCTGTAAAAAAAATGCACTATGAACTGAACAGCGCTGCTGTGAAACGAACCCACAACCTTCAGAGCATGAGGCAAACGGCTTGACCACTTCGCCAGGGAGACCACCCTTACAAGGGTGAATGCAGAAGCAGAAGAGAATTTAACTGCACAGTGCTGCATTCTTCTTCTGCTGCCTTCTCTCCACCAATGAAGCATAGGTCCTCAACCTGCTCACTTCAAGACTTCCAATTCTTTGCTGCCCCCTGAAGCTCCCTCCATGTTCTCATCATTCTGCATGGTCTCGAGGTATAATGTCCGCTTTGAGTGCTAAAGGTTGCAGGTTAAATCCCCGGTAGGGGCTGGGATTTTTTCACGTGGACTTGGACTCCTAGTAATTCCCAATAGTGTCTGGGTAGTGAGATCAGATGCCCATGTACAGTTGGCAGTTGAAATTTGAAAAGAGTCCCCTAAACGGCGCTCCCGGGCAAAATTTGGAGTTTAAAATCTACCCAAAGTATTTCAGGATCCTTGCCGGTGCTACAGAGCCTAAGCACTGTTCTTCGGACTCGGACTTGAGTTAGAAGAAGAATGGAGCACTGATAGGTTACATCTGTGTGCCATGATGTTGATCCATTGTTCAAAACCTCAAAACAATTATTCAATTTTTTTCAATCTTCAACTATTTCCTCTCCGCTTTTTTTTTTAAGGTCTCCAACAATTTTTGTTGTCCAAAGAATGGACTTTCCAGTTACATTATTGACATATTTTCTCAATGCAAGTTCTCACTAGTGCCAGTATCTTCACTTCCCCTCTTTATTCCCTGGAACTTTAGTTCTCTCCAAAATCTCAGCACCACATTAAAAAAAACATAACTTCACAGAGGGTCTGAACCCAGGTGTCCAGCAAGAAAGTCTAGGCATTAAACTGTTCATTTTATATTAATGTGTGAAAACTGACGGTATAGTAAGAACAAAGTATATTCCTGTGCATGTTTACTGCATGTGTACTTACCAAGATCCTCTTCATTCTGCTTCTTTCTCTGTCTCTGCATTTCTTCAGACTGTAGAAGAAAAAAAGAAATAAAACACATAGGTGTTGACGACGACAACCCTAAAATCCCATGCCATAACTGTAAAAGAGTTTTCTTAATGCTGCTGGGTTTTGCTAGTCACATTCGCCATCGCCATAGACTGATTCTCATACCTCTGCAAAGAACAATATAACACTATCTCATGGAAAGATAGAAAGGTGCCAATCATAGAAGAAAAAGGAAATTCATATTTTTTTAAAGCTGTCTATACAACGGTTCATAGCTTCTATGCAGCATGCAAAATTCTTTTCTTAACTTCCAATGTCAGGGATTTATTACACAAGATGTCTGTCATATTATACATGCATTTTCACCTGATCTGTCCTTTATCTCAGTGTCACATCTTCCATCTGATGCTATCCACATGTCTACATACCTAAACTTCTGTAATTGTTCCAAGATAATGCTACTGACTTTAACTGCCCACTGAGGCCCAATTTTGTTATTTCATTATACCATTACTATCTTCTTATTCTTTTCTCTACTCTTGGAATGCCTTGCGGCATCAGGAAGAGATCTCTGGAACGGGCCTCTCTGCTTGCTTCGTATAAAGTACTTTTCAGTGTCTCTGGTATTTCTGCAGTCCTTTGTCTGCGTGGTTGAACGCTGGCTCTGTAAACATTGTGCCTGTATAGCACAGCTCTCTATAGCACCCTGTCTGATGCCAATCTTGTTACATGGCCAAACCATTTGATTTGCTGTCTACCTATAAAGTTCAGTATTGGTTTAGTGCTGACTTTCCTCCTGATACCATCACTATAACCTTCCTATTAAGTTTGAAAAAAAAAAAAAATTTAAAAACACATTTTATTAAAACATTGCAAAGTAACCAAATAAATTAACATTAAAAACATTACAAAAAACATTTTCTATGACCAAAACAGTAATATAAACATCAGCTGTATGGCTTTTGAAGAACAAACCTTGGCCTGCTCCGACTTGTAATAATGGTAAAAGTAAGGGGAGTATTCCTTGTAGAATTCTGGTTTCAGCTCAAATCTTCCCTGGGAACCACTGTGGAGTTTCCTGTTAAAAAATATCAGAGACAATTAACTAAATGAACAAGAGGGAAGATGTTGCAAATGATTGGTGTGAACTAGTTCCAACAGTCACTGCTCTGTAAGTCTACTGGAATGATAGCCTGCTCTTGATAACTTCCAACTGTCAAGGAACCTTTGTTGTCAAGGAAGTGAGGAATGATGGTCTGCTCTTGATATCTTCCAACTGCCAAGGGAACTTTGTTGTCAAGGAAGTGAGGAATGATAGTCTACTACTCTTTATAACTTCTAACTGCCAAGGGATCTTTGTTGTCAATGAAGTGACAAATTATGGTCTACTACTCTTTTCAACTTCCAACTGCCAAGGGATCTTTGTTGTCAATAAAGTGACAAATTATGATTCACTACTCTTCATAACTTCCAAGGGACCTTTGTTGTCATGAAGTGACAAATTATGGTCTACTACTCTTTACACCTTCCAACTGTGAAGGGACCTTTGTTGTCAAGGAAGTAACAAATGATGGTCTGCTATTTGTAACTTCCAACTGTCAAAGAACCTTTGTTGTCAAGGAAGTAACAAATGATGGTCTGCTCTTGATAACTTCCAACTGCCAAGGAACCTTTGTTGACAAGGAAGTGAGGAGTGATGGTCTGCTCTTGATATCTTCCAACTGCCAAAGGAACTTTGTTGTCAAGGAAGTGAGGAATGATGGTCTGCTCTTTATAACTTCTAACTGCCAAGGGATCTTTGTTGTCAAGGAAGTGAGGAATGATAGTCTACTACTCTTCATAACTGCCAAGGGATCTTTGCTGTCAATTAAGTGACAAATTATGGTCTACTACTATTTATAACTTCCAACTGTGAAGGGAGATTTGTTGTCAAGGAAGTGAAAAATGATGGTCTACTCTTTATAACTTCCAACTGCCAAGGGACCTTTGTTGCTAATGAAGCGGCAAATTATGGTAGCTAAAACATGTTCAATCTGCGCCACCCCTGCCAATACTGCTGTCTATACCACTTTGTAGTGCAAGCAAGGTCTTTGATCTTGGCTAGTGCAATTGCTACATACTGTGTGGGTCTGGATTTTATTCCTGTCCTTACAGAAAAACCCCATAACCTTATCAAGGATTTGAAACGGGTTCTACCACATGAAAGCTGAGCATTCTTAACCACCTGGCCAGCCATTACTTAAGATGTTCAATCAGTACTCATGTCTTCTAATCCTGAGTGCTCACATGCTCAAGAGAAAACATGTTACATACAGAAAGGTAAAAATTATGCAACAAACCTTCAGTCACTGGAAGTCGTAGTGAAAGTAAAGTTCTTCCACGCTTTTCAGGCATATTGGGTATATAAGGCTAGACCTATATTTTATAGACCAAACAGCACTTGGTGGGTGATGTGGTCAGCTTAGTGCCGGCCGCCTTTACTTTCCAGGACTGTGCCTGGTACCCATTCAAGGCTAGGTCGACATGGGAGCCAAGATCAGTTTTGAAAAAAGTCTGGCCCCCGTCAAGAACAGAACACATGACCTTCCAATCCACAGGCGAGCGCCAAGCCGCTAGACCATGGTAAAAGCTGTAGTAGTGCCTTTAAAAAGATAGAGACAGGATGGGTTCGAAGACAGTGGTTGAGTCACTGAGGAAATCTCGTCTGAGAGGAATAAGTTTAATTTTTGTGCCAGGATGCTCTGGGGTAAGAGGTAATCAACAAGTGGACTGGCTTGCGGTCAGGGCCACAGTAGGGACAGAAAAAGCAAATGTTTTTGATGCTCTCAAGGTGGCACACGAAAAATAGATGATTCAAGAAACAACAGTGAAGTGGCAACCTTGACAAGACTAAGAGAACTTCATGTCAAAAGGGGTGTCACCAGACACCATATACAAAGACAAATAGTAAACCAACATAGAACTGGTGTCATTAGTTGCCACATCTGATGGAGATAAGATGGGATCCAAGCACTTATGGATTTGTCTGATGTGTAATGATGATGATGATTTGTCAATTAACTATTTAGTACTCACTTGAAGACAGCTATTTCATTGACCACACAATCCAAACCAGTTTCACGGTTTATCTGTAACACAGATTAAGAATATTATGTTTTAATATGTAGTTTTAAACTCAACTAACAAGGATTCTGCTTTTTTCTTCTCTTGTCAATAATTGCTTTGTGCCACTTGGTACACATGATGGAATACTTTGGACACAAATGTTGACCAGTACCAAAGAACAGACATTGAGAAGAAGAGACAAGACAGCTCACCATCATTAAAGGACCCTTGTCCACACCTTCAGCTGTACTAAGTATACAGTGCTAGACATTTATTTTCAGACCAATTGGCAGCCAATGGGTGATGTGGTCAACATAACGCTGTTGCCTTTATTTGCTAGGACTGAACCTGGTATCCATTTAAGGCTGTGTTGACCTGCAAACCAAGGTCATTTTAACCAAAATGTAAAAAAAAAAAAAAAAATTGTCAGTCTCCATTTAAATTTGAACCCACAACCTTCAGATTTGTAGGCAAGCATCTAGCCATTACATCACATCGGCTCTTGCTCAGCACGATAGCAAAGAGGAACTTATGTATCAAACATTGTCTGCAGTATACAAGATTGAAGACTGTCAAAAATGATGGCCAACATGATACAATCAATCAATCAATCAATCAAACAATCAATCAAGAGCTGTCACCACAATGAAGGCTGGCTAAAATGGATCCACCACATTCTTTGTTTTCTGCCCTGGACATACACTGACTCAGACTGCTGTTTATCTATGTCAGCTGTTTATTTTCCCACTTTTATTGCTGTTTGCCTCAACCTTTTCCTTCCTGTATGGCTTTTTACAAGTGGTATGTATATTAATATGGTCAAAATACTTCCCTTGGCTCTTTCTTATTTCCTTTAGCAACTCTCTTGTCATTCCCAGTCTGTTCAGAACCTGCTTTTGTTTCCATGAAATATGACCTATTTTCCTGAATATCAACATCACAAGAGACAATATATTTACTTTACTTAGTCACTCTTTTTTCTACCTTGGGGTGTAGAGGTTTGCCATAGAGATCGCCAGACTTCTCTATCAGTAGTTTTCTTTCTGGCTTTGTTCCATTCCAGTCCTCTGTCAGTTAGGAACTGTCGGATTTTGTCTTCCCAGCAGACTCTGGGTCGCCCTAGAGGTCTGGTTCCCTGGTTCTTGGCCTCCCATGCCTGCCTTGGTGGCTGATTTTTAACCATTCTGTCTATGTGTCAAACTATCGTAACTGTGAAAGACCTATTCAAGTTTGTAAGGCCTGGGTTTCAAGATCTTGATGTATTTTCTGATTGCAGACTTTGTCCCATCTTGTAACTTGGACCACTTTTCTCAGATATCTCATTTCTGAGGCCTGAAATTGGCTTCTGTGAGCTGTGAGACTCAATACAATAACATAACACAGCAAGGGTTTTAGGAATAAAAAGTGATGCACTTTTATCCATGTTGATGGTTACCCCTAAATATGCCTAGAAATGAATGATACTATTAAAGCGCATTTGACTTACATCCTCATTTAAGGCCTTGGACAGTTTGCTGTGAGCCATAGGAGAAATACAAAGCAAATGTATGACCTCCCGCTTTATTGTATCCTTCTTTGTGACTTGCCCCACACCTGGAACATAGCGCTCCTCTGACAACAAAGGAATAGTTAAAAAAAAATATTTAAAAATAAATTATTGTGTCTATACTTTTGATAGGACAGAACAGGACAGGCAAAAACTGCATTTTATCAAATGAAGAACATCATATGCAATATATCTTGTCACTGAAGGTTAGAAAAATAATTCTTGCTATGGCTGTGAGTCCTCAACAATTGGTAGGCAGGCTAAACGATTTCTTGAGGCCTCAGAGATGTGGTTTTACAGAAGAATGCTTAAAATACCTTAGACAGCCAAAAAGAGCAACCAAGAGGTTTTGAAGTAGGTGGCAGCCCGAAGACAACCTATCACAAACATCCTTTTTTGGCCATGTTATGAGAAGAGGGAAAATAGAAAGTGGTGAGACCAGTGGAAAGATCTGTGGAAGGAGGGACAGAGGAAGACAACGGGAGAAGATTCTTGACAGTCTTGTTCCATGGCATGGAGGTGTGTCAGCACAAAAACTGATAAATGCTGCAAAAGATTGCGGATTGTGGAGAGGCATGATCGCCCACTCCAATTGGCAAGGCACCTGAGGATGATACTTTTGATTTACTTTTTCTTTATTCTACTTCAAGGTCATTAGTTTCTACTCAAAAACTGTACCACAGAAATATTAAATTAGTAAGCACTGGAAAGTGGGAGAAGAACTGAGAAACAGGATGTTGGATATTTAGCATCATGGCATGGGTGAACTCTGTATCAGAAATAATTGATAATACAAGAGACAGAAGGTTGTAGACAGACATATCAAATGCCAAATGACATGGATAAACTCTGGATCAGAAATAACTGATAGTACAGGAGACATAAGGTGGTAGACAGACATGATACCAAATGCCACATGACATGGATCATAAGAAGCAGAAAACAAAAGAAAACAGTTAAGCACTCATCACCTGTGTGCTACCAGAGCCCTTACTGTAAGCACAGAATAGTATCACTGCACCCAACTAAGCATCCTATAAGAGGAGACTATGGGTAGGGTTGGACTTGGGGTTAACTACCTCATCCTCTTAAAAAAAATATTTAAAAAAAAAAAGCCACAAAAACCAACCAACCATAGGAAAGTCAAAAAGAAATGACTTAGAGTGAGTTGGCTGAGAGCCAAAGCTCCACTAGAAAAAAAAAAAGGGGGGGGGGGGGGGGGGAAGAGGAGATTAATGGTAAAGGAGAAAGAAGAAACACTCACAGTATTTATATTTAACACAAATGACAAATTCTTTGAAATATAAAGAGAATTAATTATTTCATGGTGGCATAGAGGTAAATATGCTTGCTTGCCAAGCAAGAGGTTTAGGGCCTGTGTGTGTGTGTGTGTGTGTGTTGCATTGGTCAAGTCATCTGCCTCATGCTCTAAAGACCGTGAGTTTATTTCACATATTGCGCAGCTCTGCTTAGGGGTACCGATATTCCAGGAAAAGCCACTAGAGCTAAGATGTCCGAGTGCAGTGAAGTCAATCTTCAAGCATGTGATACAAGTCATCTGCCTCATGCTCTAAAGACCGTGAGTTTATTTCACATATTGCGCAGCTCTGCTTAGGGGTACCGATATTCCAGGAAAAGCCACTAGAGCTAAGATGTCCGAGTGCAGTGAAGTCAATCTTCAAGCATGTCATACAAGTCAACTAACAAAGTGTTTGCTGAAATCCAATGTGTCGGGCTGAAAGGGAAGCTTAGCTGTAAATCACAACATAACATGCTAACTGCCCTTTTAAGCATTAATGCAGAAGAAGGACTAATTACAACAGTCAAAGGATATTGTGGTGAAATGGCCTTCACCAGCAGAACATGAAGAGAAACAAGATACAGCTTCGTTTACTAAAGTCACCTAATTTCAAAAGTTTTATACTGGACAGACATATGTTTAATCAACTGCACACTAGTCTTCTGACAAAACCTGACATGACAGGCTAGGAGAGTTAAGGCTTCATTTGATAAAGGAATTATTTCTTACAATGCAAATTAACAGCCAAAATAAGTAAACAGGGAGTGACTGCAGTCGCGCAGATTACAAGAAATAACACATATTAAAATAATAAATTCAGCAGCTGATAGTTTGTCTGAAAGTAGAAATCAAAGTGACTGGGTTCACAAACGACAATGACAAGAAAGACAGCCGAAACAACAGTAACAGCTCTCACCCATTAAAACAATAAGCAGACTGAGAAACTCTTCAGCAAGAGTCACAGTTTGTCTCACAGAATCCTCTTGCCCTCCGGGGATATCATATTCCATCCTGGCACAGAAATAATACAACAATTCAGTAATTTATACATAGTGGTGTGAATATTTTCACCTTGAAACCCTTTTTAAAAAAAATAACCTGAGAATTTTAACCCCAAAAAAAAAAAAAAAAACACATTTAAAAAAAAAAGCTTAAAAAAAAAGAATAACTAAAAACATTTTTAAAACATATTATGTATATACATTTGCATTTATTTTTTGTTTTAATATGAAGTGTAAAAATAAAAAGCATGAATGGAGTATAGAATTTAATAAATACTTCCCATAGGCTAAACAAAAATTTAAAAAATGACTCATATGCGATCACTAAATGCTAATTATGACGACCGAGTGATTAAACATTTCTTTTACTTCCACAATAAAATCCCCTCAAATGCTATATTTAGTAAATAGAGTCACCTCTCCAGCCCTTCTAAACACTTGTACAGGTGGAATCCATACCAAAACTGATGTTTAAGCACAGCAGGGACTGGCCAAATCTGTATTTTAAAAATATCGGCTACTCTGGGATTTACAATGGACTATAATGCCAAAATACTTGCATTTTGGGATGAAAGAGTTAATTAAAGAGTCCTTAAAGTTTTGAAGCAATATGCCTCCCTCCAATCAAAAGCATGCAGTTACTTCTATAGCAATTTTTATACCTTGGATACCTTTTCTTTGCTCACCATGGACTAAGAAAAACAATGACATTCTCCATGATGTGTGCACCAAGGAGAACTGGCTCATAGACAGCATTCTGCCTCAAATGCTGAAGTAGTCTGACCATGTTAAACAACACAATAGCGTGGGGGAAAAACTGAAAACTGACGGGAGTGTAGTTTCCGAAAAAAAAAAGGCAGAGGCCGGTCTTCGTGAAGGTGGATACAAGACATTGAAGATGTATCGTCTATGAAAGCACATAAGGCTACAGAAAGAAAGATTTCAGGTGTGCCATAAAGAAAATTACATTCTACATAATAATTTAAAAAAAAATGATAATTGTAATAAATCTGTGCTAACTGATAATAATTCTGCCCCATAAGAAGCAGAAAACAAAAGAAAACAGTTAAGCACTCATCACCTGTGTGCTACCAGAGCCCTTACTGTAAGCACAGAATACAGGCAGTACCTTGGATATGAAAAACAGTATATGTGTACGCCCCCACCAACATCTGTTTTATAGCCAAATCTTCTTCTTCTTTCTTCTTTGCGTCCTCTTTTACCGCTTCGGGTGTCAAGGAAGATATAAGATCCTGCTTCGTGCTTTTCTGGCTGCTTCGACCAGAGACACATCGTGGTACTGTAGAGTTTCTCTGATGTTATCCTTTCATCTTGTTCTTGGTCAACCTCTTGCTCTTTGTTCCTCTCCTCTTTTGGTATATGCCTTGAATGGTAAAGCATCAGAAGGCATTCTCTCCAAGTGGGCAAACCATTTGATTTGCTGTCTTTCTATGCAATTTAGAATTGGTTCTGTGCCGACTTTTTATCTCATATGACCTCATTCCTGATTTTATCTCTTCTGGTCACTGGTCATTAAAGCCAGATATTACCAATAAAACAAGATCTGCATAAATTTCATAATTTAAAAATAAATCAAAATCAAAGCAGTTAACAAATGCAATCAACAAACTTACTTTGCCCAGTTCAAGAGGTTGAATTTGTTAAGGAGCTGCACCATAAAATCATCCCCAGGCAACAAGGAAGCTGCAATCTGAAAAGAATAATGATTTATTTACCAGATGTATACAAAAAATTGTATCTGTCATGAAACAGGAAAAAACCCAGGAAGTTTGTTTCAGATAATATTTTGGTGAATATTCCAGTAATCTGTATATTTGTCTATGTCGTACACTATTTCAGAATCAGAGAAAACTGTAACTGTCTTTTGAAGGCCTCAGTGTTTGATTCAAACAACCTCTTGCTTTCCTTCTAACACCAGTCAGTTCTGGTCAATATAGTAGATAGGATGCCCTAATACTTTTAGTCATGGCAAGTTTTTGCTTCTGATAATAGTTAGCAATTGCATTTTTCTCCAAATGTGGGCAGAAAGGATATAGTTTCATCCCCTGGCTACTGAGATGATTGCATGACACAACACTGTGAGCTGCAGATTTCATTTAAAATGCTTTTCAACTGTGCCCAACGTGGTTTGTGTTACTGACTGTAGATTCAGAAAATGGTGAGTAGCCAGTTGCCAGACAACTGGTAGTGCCTTCCGCAATTAACTGTGTGTGCAACTACTGATCTATTATCTTCTTCTTCTTCTTCGCGTTCACCAGCTGTACACTCTGGCGGAAAGTTCTGGTTGATCGTCCACTACTGAACTGCAGTCCCGCTCCAGAACCTGAGTGTTGCGTGTGCATCAGTTTTACAGATCTCATTCTCTTGAATACAGACTGTTGGTTCCTTGCCTCTCCGGCAGATGCACTCCGACTTCAAAGGAAGCTCCCCAATTAGTCGACTCTTACGACATGCTTTTGGGGAGGCAGTGGGTCTATTCTTGTTTTCCCCACAATGGGGCCCCGGAATCCACACGAGGGGATCTATTATAACTGCTGCTTACATCAACAATGAACTGCATTTCCAGTGCCAGACTGTTTGTGTTGTCACTTCTGACGGCTGCCTCATGTTATTCGCTTTGTGCTTTGTTGAGATTGCAGTCTGTATCAATTTGTTTTAGCATGGGACAGTACTGGACATGTTGTGTGGTTTTTATTAGCACAGGAATGGATCAACTATGGGGTGGCCCATTCACTATGAAGTTGGAACTGCGATTGCCTTATTCAGTACATTCCCAAGATTTCACCACAGATGATGTCACGGGACAGTCCAATATTTTTTTAGGGTGGTTAGAGCGGGCTTTTCAGCTGTCTGTGTGTCTTCCAAGGCGCTGCCAAGGTTTTAGTGCGTTTGTTCTTTCGGCATCTCTCCAGTTTGTGTTTGCGACGTCTCTCCAGCGACTTGTGTGTTCAGTCTTCAACGCCATGAACTTCCTAGAATAAACAGTATCGGTACTTGACAAGAAAAGCAGCGTTGCTTTCTTGCAACATCATGGCATTCTGCATAGCAACATACTTTGTGGCAATAATCATGCGATGGTGTTACCACAATAATAGTCTGTTGTCTTTGCCGCTGCTGCCACCGCAACAGCAGGTGTCGCATTCCAACCTCTATCCAGATCTAGTAACCTGTAAAATTGTCCTGATTGTCGATTCGTAACCCTAGCAGTATACATCTAGAATGACTGGCTCTTTTTAGGGCCACCACCAGAGTACCATAATTGGCATTTTATTCTGCCTGACTGCACATAGAGTTTCACACAAACAAACTGCAAAACAGCATCTTCCTACCCAGAAAAAAAAAAAAACGTCAGCTGCAAGCGATATAGAGTTTTCTATATTCCACGATGTGAATGCTTTTAACAACCCCAAAACATCTACAAGTGACCCTAACCCCAACTCACCTAGTCCTACGAGAGAGTGCAGCCTAGGTCCCATGACTGCATGCAGCCTAGGTCCCACCACTGTTTACAGCCTAGGTCCCATGACTGCATGCAGCCTAGGTCCCACCACTGTTTACAGCCTAGGTCCCACCACTGTTTACAGCCTAGGTCCCACGACTGCATGCAGCCTAGGTCCCACCACTGTTTACAGCCTAGGTCCCACCACTGTTTACAGCCTAGGTTCCATGACTGCATGCAGCCTAGGTCCCACCACTGTTTACAGCCTAGGTCCCACCACTGTTTACAGCCTAGGTCCCACCACTGTTTACAGCCTAGGTCCCACCACTGTTTACAGCCTAGGTCCCACGACTGCATGCAGCCTAGGTCCCACCACTGTTTACAGCCTAGGTCCCACCACTGTTTACAGCCTAGGTCCCATGACTGCATGCAGCCTAGGTCCCACCACTGTTTACAGCCTAGGTCCCACCACTGTTTACAGCCTAGGTCCCACCACTGTTTACAGCCTAGGTCCCACCACTGTTTACAGCCTAGGTCCCACCACTGTTTACAGCCTAGGCCCCACCACTGTTTACAGCCTAGGTCCCACCACTGTTTACAGCCTAGGTCCCACCACTGTTTACAGCCTAGGTCCCACCACTGTTTACAGCCTAGGTCCCACCACTGTTTACAGCCTAGGTCCCACCACTGTTTACAGCCTAGGTCCCACCACTGTTTACAGCCTAGGTCCCACCACTGTTTACAGCCTAGGTCCCACCACTGTTTACAGCCTAGGTCCCACCACTGTTTACAGCCTAGGTCCCACCACTGTTTACAGCCTAGGTCCCACCACTGTTTACAGCCTAGGTCTCACCACTGTTTACAGCCTAGGTCCCACGACTGCATGCAGCCTAGGTCCCACCACTGTTTACAGCCTAGGTCCCACCACTGTTTACAGCCTAGGTCCCACCACTGTTTACAGCCTAGGTCCCATGACTACATGCAGCCTCGGTCCCACCACTGTTTACAGCCTAGGTCCCACCACTGTTTACAGCCTAGGTCCCACCACTGTTTACAGCCTAGGTCCCACCACTGTTTACAGCCTAGGTCCCACCACTGTTTACAGCCTAGGTCCCACCACTGTTTACAGCCTAGGTCCCACCACTGTTTACAGCCTAAGTCCCACCACTGTTTACAGCCTAGGTCCCACCACTGTTTACAGCCTAGGTCCCACCATTGTTTACAGCCTAGGTCCCACCACTGTTTACAGCCTAGGTCCTCCTCCAGCAAAAAAAAATAAAAATACAATACCCACAAAAACTGCACCCTCCTGATTGCACATAAGAGTCCACAACACACAGAACAATACACACACACAAAAACAGCACCAGAAGCACACAAAACTGAAAACTATGCAGCACAAAACTGCACAGCAAATGAAATGCCAAATTACTACACCATACAACACACCCAGAAATATTACTGTTCCATGACCTGTGGATTTCCCTGTATTTGTGGTGAAATATTGAGAAAGTACCACTGATTCATCAACATCATCATCGTTTGTGTGCTGTTAGACGTCATGAATGAAGTAGGAACATGAGAAGTGGTAGGAACATGAGTAGTAAGAACACAAGAATTAGCAGTCACATGAGTAGTAGTATGAGGAGTAGCAGTAGCAGTAACTTTTAAAGTTATAGTAGTAATAATAAGCCCAGCAATTTACCTGCAACATTATGATATCTCTATCGTACATTTCTTGTCTACATCTCAGGTTGGTGTAGAAAAAAACCTGACAGAAAGGGAAAATAACTATATATATTTGAACAAAGAAGACACAAACAATAGATTGCACAATTTATTGCTTGGCATATTTCACTGTATCTCATCAAGTGCATACTACAGTAACAATTACATAAATGAAGCAAAAAAGTGAATCCTTTATAACTGAAAAACAATTTCAACAACGATAAAACATGACTGCCTGTTTTTACCAGGGCAGCCATAAAAAAAAAAAAATAATATATATATATATATATATATATATATATATATATATATATATATATATATATATATATATATATATATATATATATATATATATATATATATACTATTTGTTAAGCTATTAAAACACTATGATTGTCATTATGACAAACTTTGAATAGAAAAAACAGAAAGCTCAGTATACAAAGAATGGTGCCCTCAAAGAAGTCTCTGTCTATTTTTGAAGTCCTAGAAGTCCAAGACATCAGGGCATTGTCCACATGGAAGTCAGGGCCAGTCTTGTACATCCCAAGAACGAGTTGACAAGTCTTTGGAAAACAGTCTCATCTTCCAGTTGGGCTCCCAATTGCTGTATGCACTCAATATTCAGTACAGTTTCATCTAATATTGTTTTCCCACATCACTTCTCCTGACCACAGCCTCCCAACTGCCCTACCTCTGTGGGCCACTTCCTGCCTAAAAGCTCTAAATTAGAATTATTTGTTCAGTGAAGGCACACATAAGCAAGCCCCTGTTTTTTTTCCAAGTGTAAGTGGGTATTTCAAATTGAAGTGGACTTTATCCTTTTAAGCTGAATTGGGTTTTTATGTCTGATGAATGTGAATGTGAGTTGTGGGGTAGGGGTATATCCTCTAGTCTGCTTATCAACGGAGTACTAAATACAGTACAAACTGTGACTGGAAAACTCAATAGGCAAGACAAAAGAGCTAATAAAAAAGCAACGTCAACATGAAACCAAGAAGTACGTAATGTTTTCCAGTCACAGTTTGTGCTGTATTTAGTACTCTGTTGATAAAGATATTGGTTGACACGTTCGGTTGTGTTTGCGTGCATATTTTCCATTCCCTCCCTTAAGCTTTCTAGTCACATTTTGTGTTATATAGTCGCTTAAGGCCAGGCTTATTGTAACAAATCTGCTCTGATGCAAAATCCAACCAATGACTGACAGGCAAATATCATGTACATGTGTATGGTAATACATTTTCCTCTTCAATTTTCCCTTCTTTTTCATGCATAAATCTGAAAAAAGGTCTGGAAAGGTGTTAAGGAAGAGAACTGGCCAACTCATATAATATATTATGGCCTATAATATGTTAAGGTCTCACTCTCCCTACCCCAATAGCAGTTTCTCTTATTATATTATCCACGTGATGTGAATGTGAACCAACGACTGCCAGGCTAATGTTACGTAAATGTGTATAGTAATACATTTCTGTTATTTTGTCCCCCCTTCTTTTTTTCTGCATTTGACCTTAAAAGGGTGGTTGGCATGCTGGGTTGTGGCTTTCAACTAGGCAATGATATCTGCACCTTTCATCCTTACACATTCAATTTCAGCAAATCCCTAATTAGTCAGGGTCTCCGTGGTGAAGTGGTCAAGCCTTCTGCCTTGCGCTCTGAAGGTCGTGGGATCGTTTCACAGCGGCGCTGTTCAGTTCATAAGTGCAATTTTTACACAGATCCCTAGGGACTGTCATCGGAGCTATGGAGGTCGTGCTCTCTGCGACGCTCTCGGCAGGCAGCTAGCTGTTATGGGAAGAAAGACTGTGCCATATGGAATAAAGCCAGATGTTATGAAATCAATCCTCTTATCTTACCATTAACTAGGCAATGATATTTGCACCTTTCGTCCCAACACATTCGATTTCAGCAAACTCTTAATTAGTCATTTTTTACAAGAAGTTTGTTAGCGAGGCAGTGTGTCCATCCCCTCCTTCCCACCCAAAATAGGGCTCCGCATCCCCTTCAATAAATATCTTTATCTAGAAAGATATCTATTGTCTCATACAATAAACACCTCTATTTACAACAAGGATTCCTCAAAGAAAACCCACATCTAGGCCTAACCTGATTCTGAAGACTGTATCCATTCCTGCGCCACATGCCAGCCTGCGACTGGGCCAGCAGAACTTGTATTCTCAGCGCTGGTTCCATGAGCTCTTTCACGTTCACAGGCTCGGACATTGGCATGTCAAAACTTTGAGCCATCTCAGCTAATCTCTGTTATCAGAAACAAACATGTAAGACATTACTCAAGAAATATTAACAAGAAGAAGTTTTTAAAAAAAAAAAGGCAATTATTATATTATAGATAGGAGCAAATGGTGAAGCACGGAGTTTTCTTCATAGCCATAGGCATATTGGGTATATAGTGCTAGACCTATATTTTATAGACCAATGGGCACCCAGTGATGATGTCGTTAACATCAAGTTGGCCACCCCCAGCCAAAAGCACAGCCATAGGGTTAATTCAGTCTGATAAAAGTGGGTACCAGACAATTATCTGAGATTTGTCTGGACAGGAAAGTTGTCAAGGAAGGGCATTGGCCAACTCATTTCATATGTTATAGCCTAGAATAAACAATTTTCATCTAAAGGTTTTTCCTGGATATCCTTGTTTCCTCATCCACTGTGTTTCCCATTTCAGTTTCTCTTATGGAAGTTTACTTAACTCTTTTGGTTCCAAAAGGTATTCCCATGTTTCTATTGTTTAATCAGAAAATTTCACTCGCAAAACTGTTACAAGTCATGCATATGGCAGGAAAATAAAGAGGAGCAAAGGCTGCTACCAGATGAGGCAAATTATCTTCATTGTCTTATGTAAGAGTTTGAAGTGATGTTTGTAATACTCAAAGAAACTCCAACTGCACACTCTATATAGCTGGGAATTTGTGTGGATTTCTAAAAGGAAAAGCTACAAACAATGCCATATAAATCTTCAGGACTCTTCCGGATAGAAGTTAAAAAAAAACAAAAAAAATCTTTACTTAAGCTTCATTTACTATACAAAAGCATTTGACTGTGAAACATTAAGACATAATCAAACTACTGGAAAAGTTAAATACTGATGGAAAAGATTTATGAATTAGAACATGTATTGGCAGCAAACAGCAGCTATAAGAATTAATAATCATTTGGGAACATTTCAGAGCATAAAAAGGGGAGTACGACAAGGATGTGTACTATCACCTGATTTTTTTTTTTTATACAGTGAATATATAATGAGATCTATCATGGATATGCCAGCAATTGTGGTTGGTGGTCATAACATAAACCACCTGCATTATGCTGATGACACCATCTTGATAGCAACAAGTCAGAAAGAACCACAGGCATCGATAGATATGGTGACCGGAGGCTAAGTGGTCTCGAGGTATGGCATGTACCACAAATAATCAGCTGCACTCACAAGTCATAATAGTAACCGACTCAAAAAGCATGTTGAGAAAGATGGAGACTTGTATGTTCCGCGAACAATGGCAAATATCGCTCCAGAGGTCCCAGGTAGTTAGTGTCCGTTAGATATTTTCTGCATTAGGAAATGAACAGGCAGACAGACAGGCTGGTTCTGCAACATTTGTTGGTGAACTGATGCATGACAAGCCAGATGTTGTAAGGGCCCTTTGGGGGCGAGTGAACAGTGCAGAGGCCCAGATAGATCATAATGGTCTGAAGACAATGCTGCTGCGAGGAGTGACCAGGGGATCTGGCTGATGATCAACATTTAAGGGAAAGGTAAGGACATTTACATACAATCATACTGTTACTGGTACTATCAGAACTGAAACTCTGGGCTTGCTGCTGAAGATGGAGAGCTTATGGGAATGTCCTGAGCGCTGTGAAGCTGATTCTCAATTAACCATAAACATTAAACGTTCACAGATGAGAATGGTAACATTGTAGAAGATCGGAATATCTGGGGAAAACAATCTTAGAAAGTGAAATACTTTAGCCATATCAAATGTCACAATAGCTTGAAAAAAATAATACTGGAGGGTATGGTACTGGTTTAAAGAAGTAGGGGCCTACCAGCATGAAAGGGCGGGACAGAAACTGAAAATACCTTAGCCATATCATATGTCACATTGGCTTGAAAAAAAAATGGAGGGTATGGTACTGGGTTAAAGAAGTAGGGGCTGACCAGCGTGAAGGTGGGGCTCGTTACTTAACTGACATATTGGGCAGGAAAGTGAATGAGGCAGGACAGTTAGTGAAGGACCGAGTTTCTTTCAAGCTGGCTGGGATAGCAGTGATGTTCTGTAAAGGACCTGCTACATGATGATGATTTGCATAATCACAGCAGAATATGAATTTAATTCAAGTTCCATTCTAGGTTTGAGGTTTTGGACAACAGATCAACACCATGGCACACAAGTGTAACCCATGAGTGCTTCATTCTTCTTCTAACCCAAGTCTGAATCCAAAGAAGCTCAGCATAGTGCACAGGCTCTGTAGCACCAGTTCCGTTCTAGAAAAAGAAACAAAAACCTCTTCCACATGACAGAATGTGAATGTCAGTTCTGTTAGTTATGAAGATGACCAAATTATATAAACCCAATCAACTTACCGGATTTTGCAGTTCCGGAGAGCTAAAGCTGAGTCCATGTGTCTCCAGGTGAACGTGAAGTGCTAGAGAAATTATTGAAAATTTTTTATGTGATTTGATTCGGTACAGGATCATTTTTATATCTAGTTATACTAGCTAAATGTTGACTGCCTTTGCTGATAAATGCTTTGCAGCCACATTTTCTATTTGTCATCAGTGATTGGGGGAGGGTCACAGTAGCATGGTGCCTAGACACGTGCCGACTTATCTGAAGGTCTTGGGTTCGAATCCACATTGAGTCTGATTTTTTTCTCCAAAACTGACCAGGGCTCCAAGGTGAACCCAGTCTAAAATGGGTACCAGAGAATATCTGGGAAGTAAAGGCAGCCCTCATAAAGAGGATATCATCTTGCAAGTAATAGCCGGCCTAAAAAAATATTCTAGCTTCATACGGCTGATGCGGCTCTGGCGTAAAAAGGTCTCTACTTCCTTTTTTAGCAGTGATTGTTTTCTTTTAAAAGTAAATTTTCCCACTAATATTAGTCATTAGCAGCAGTAGTAATCAAGGTTTCAACCTCACTGCAAACAGGTAACCCCATAACTGCTCCATTCCTGTGCCAGTAACAATCTCATGAGAAACCCCCAACTATCCCATCAGAAGACTGGCCAGCAAAGAATTCATCCCAGCAAATACAAATACCACAGCTGCAATATGTCATTAATGGACGCAAATAATGCAAACCGGCTACCTGCCATTTTCTGAATATCATGACAAAATCACTGTTGGTACCAATGAAGGCACTCGACATGAAATACAAAATCAACCTCTAACTGGCTGGTAAAAATAAACCTTTTGCTCTAGTGACACCGTTGACTGCATGCATCATTGAGTAGTCTTTTTAGTTTACTACACATCAACTTATAGTCTGTTCATGAGTTGTGAATGAATAAACATGGTCACTATTATTGCCTTTCTCTCCAGCTGCAAAATATATGGTGTGATTCGTTTTCTTCAAGCAGAAGGTCAAAATGACAGAGATTCACTGTGGATTGTGACCTGTGTATGGTGATAATATTATGAGTGACAGTTCGGTGATGGATTGGCGCAGAGACAAAGAAACAGTCAAAACAGTCCATGCACACTCATTCTACAAACAAGCAGAGAAAATTCAAGCCAACAGTTTTGCAATGAAAAATTATGGTTACAGTGTTCTGGGACCACAAGGGCGTATGCATCCATTGTTTTTGACTGCTCCTTTGTCATTCATGAGTGTACCCATGTCTCGTCCCTTGTCACTATTCAGTCGAGAATCGTATCCCACTATTCCCAGTAGCGTAGAAGGAACGTCAAAGCGGAGCCCATTCTCTGAGCTTTGAGAATGCCTGTCAGTTACTTTGATATCCATTGTGAACAGAACATGCGGCAATCTAAACTCTCTGTGACAATTTGAAACAGACTAGTCCTAGACATTTGTGGAAATTCGGTAGAAAGATCTGAAATTGTGAAACAGCTCTTTCCCATCACAATTAGGTCAACTTATTGAAAGCGTTCATTTGCGGCACATTGATGTTGTCCTTGTTCACCCTCATCATGCACATCCTTACGCTGATCTCAGAATTTCCGGCACCATCTCTCACAAAATTGTCACTTATAACGTTATCACACTACACACCACACAATCCATGATGAATCTTGGCCACATATTGACCATCTGCTTGAAGAAAACAAATCACACCATAAATTTCACAGCCGGTAGGAAAGGCAATAACAGTGTCCATGTTTATTCATTTGTGCTTCTTAAATCAGTGAACAAAAGTGACTGTAAGCTGATGTATAGTGAGCTAAAATACTACTAAATAAGGTGAACAGTGTCACTATGGAAAATGTTTTATTTTTACCAGCCAATCAGAGGTTAATTCTGGAAAAGCATTTGTACATAGTCCACAGTGCTGCACCAAGCACTCAACTCAGTAACTTAGGCAGCTAAAGCCTTGATGAGAATTCAAGCCCAAGATCCTTTTGTCAACAGTTAATTATTCTAGTTTATAGTGCTGCCAAGACACCAAATTACCTAATGAAGCAAAATTCATTCAAAAACTTTCTGGGGGGAAAACCTACCTGCCAGAAATCTGTTCAGGGGATAGTGAATTGAGACTGGATCAGAGGCAACATCATGCTTAATTACTTCACAGCTGTGGGAGCAAACTGTTAAAAAAAAAGAAAATACATTATAATGTAATATTGTTTTCTTCAGTATTCCAAACCCCTAAGGTTTACTGCTGTAGATATCACTCACCTCCTATCATCACTATGATCAGCCTTCTCTTTCCAGCTGGTGACTCTACTGTTTCTAGGCCTGCTTGTATGATGTAATGGTTTATGTGTGTATGCATGGGTGCATGTATAGATGTGTATATATGGAATGCGTGTGTGCATGTATATCCATAAATGTATGTGTGTGTGTTTTCTGTTTGTGCATTTATTTCTGTGTATGTGTATGCTTATATATGTATGTAGATGCAGGTGTGTATGTATCACGTATGCCTGTATATGAGTTCACCTGTATGAAAATGTAGATCTATGTATACGTGTGTGTGAGTGTGTATGATGGCGTACACACGATGTGTGTATGCATTATATATTTCTTTTTAAATCCATAACATGCATTATTGATAACAGGTATTAGTACTCTGAAAAATGAGTACTTAGAAGGGCCGAATGTCAGACGGGCCTGCGTGCCCAATTTGTAACCCTTTGAAAATAAAGTGTTTGTTCGTTCGTTCGTTCTATCCAGTGTCTTCGTGGTCTGCCTCATGGTCTTTCTATTTAACTCTTTTGTGTATGTGCTTATTTGTCCATCTGTTATCTGCCATTCTTACCATATACCCCAACCACAGAAGTCTATCACATGAAGTCAGCAATTAGTAGTTATTCATGCAACTTATGAATTTCTTTGCTGCTTCTCAACTTCCATTTTCTGCTGTTTGCATCTTCGGTGTGTCGAAAGATTCAGCATAAGATATATCTAAAAATGTTTGTATAAAGCTATAATGTATAAAAGGTATAAGGTATTTGTATAAGGCTTCATCTATTATATTTGTACTCCAGGTTTTACAGCCACATAGGACAATTGGTCTTACCAGTGTTTTATATACTGTTATCTTGGTGTTATAATAGAACATATGATTTAAACACATGCTGTAAGGAACAATTAGTGTAATATACAAAAATAAATGGGGAACCCTTGAGACCAGAGAAACATAATGATAAAATTACTAGAGACAGCATACAGATATAGATAATCTATTTCAAGCAAACAAAAGAAGAAGAAGAAGAAGAAGAAGAAGAAGAAGAAGAAGAAGAAGAAGAAGAAGAAGAAGAAGAAGAAGAAACAAACAGAAGTATACTGTTGTACTTACAGATGTAATAGAAGATCACATTACATATGAGTAGACAAAGTCTAGATGAAAATAGGCCAGTATGAGGGCATCATGAGGATGTAGGAAAGAGGATGTTGGAAGTCTATTAGTTAAACACAGTCCCATAACTACATCTTGAAGCATGCTGTACCCCAGATTAGTATAGATCAATCAGTACTCGATGGGTGGTGTGGTCAGCATCATGTCCACTTCTTCTGCTCTGTATCCTTCAGTGGACGATAAGCATTAAACCAACTCACATCTAGTCGCCCTATCCCTTGCTTTGGCATGCAGCTCGCTTCATGTCCTCCCCATCTGTTTCACCCAACTCCCTTCAACATTTTGACGGGTGGGGTTGCCTTTATTCTAGCACATTAGCCACTGTAATCTTCCACAACATTTCTAGGTGAGGTCAACCTGGCAACTTAGATCAACGTTTTCCTGTGTCGGTTCTAAGGACCCACCATTTTGGGGGGAAAATAATAGACTCACTGTCCCCCTATCAAGCATCTTGCAGAGGGCAACTAATCAGGAGTACGGTGCTTTCTCTGAAGTCGGAGTGCAACTGCCCTGATAGGCGAGGAGCCAAAGGTCTCCATACAAATAACCTAGATCTTTAACATGGATATGCATGCAGAACTCAACTTCTGAAATAAGACCAGAGTCCAGAAGTGAATGAACAACCAGAACTGTCTGCAGGAGTTTACAGCCAGTGAAGTTAAGAAAAAAGATCAATGTTAACAATTTGCTTTGAGAGGAACTAAAACCTAGGAGAACTGGGGGCAACAGGTCAGTGCAATCCACCCTGCATCACATGTCACTCAGGGCATGCAGTCTATTCCTCCATTCCATTCAATCCTGTGTAATACTTTTCATATCATGAAAGAAACCAGTTCAGTACCTTCACCCGCTCTCATCAACAATCCTCTTGATTCTCTTGGATGTCCTCATTTCTTCAATCAATATCTTTCCCATTTCAGAGTTTGTCTAGTGATTCTCAGCTCACTTATTCTCAGGATGTCCTCAAAATAACGTTATCTTCTTTGTCTTATAAATACTGATACCATTAGTATTACTCTCATTTCTTCGTCTCACAAATTTGGCCATCTACTTCTTCCATATATATGAGGGTTAGCCCAGTAACCACTTTTTTTTAATCTACTGCAGGTGATCTAATTTCACTTAATCCTAATACATCCAGGTGGTATCTCTCTCTTCCTTTCCTCTGCCACCTGGGTTAACTTGTTTGTGTCATAGTATGGACACTCCAAAAACTAATCTCAAAATTTTATTTTCTGTCAAGTAGTGTGCATGGCAAGTCAATCACTGACTTTCCCACAGCCAACCATTAATGTGGAGATGGCACCAATCTTTAAAACATACATTAGATGGTCAACACTATTTTAAAAAAAAGAAATGGTACTTCATCATGTTTATAATATAAACCAGTGTTTCCCAAACTTTTCTTAGTCACAGCACCTTTTTTCAATAAATTTCCCACAGCCCCCTAACCTAAGTAAAAGAATGACTATTTGTAGGTAAGGGATCAAAACAAATAAAACTCTTGTATCCTGTGAAGAGGTTGCAACTTCCTGGGGCGCCGCGGCGCACAGTTTGGGAATCACTGCTATAAACTATTTATTACGTAAAGTTTCTAGATCTACTACCTGAAACAGTTTCTTTCGCTGCAACTTCACTACAGTAGCTCAGTGCCTCCATTGTGGCTTTGTAGCCTTCAATTAAAAGGAACCGCTGAGGAAAGAAGCAATGATATACTGTTACAATAGCCACAGAAATTTTCAAATATATCAAGCAGCAATACACTTTGAGACAACAATACAGACAAACCAAGGAATAAACTGTGGCAGTGATTTGCAACATTTGTTGACTCCACAGCTCCCCAGACCTACCAAATTCTTTACCTGTGGGTAAGTGGTAAAAGCTATACACCCATCCACATGGGACAATATACTATGTGGTGCCCCAATATAACTGTGCTATATGGATATACAGGAAGGAGGGGCAGGGGCCGATCAACACGAAGATGGGCACAGGATATAAGTAACTCCTTGAGTATGAAAGTACATGAGGCGGGAGAGCTGGCGAGAGAACGAGTTTCTTTCAGGCAGACTGTGATGAGAGCGACGTTCTGCAAAGGACCTGCTAAATGATGATGATGATATGGCTATACGGCTGAACGGGGTCTCCGGGATTTGCACCTGCTTGATTCTCAGTATGGAGATGTTAATCCTATAGAGATGATTCACTGATTCAAGGATTATGTTTCAAGTCCCATATCTTCATACATAAATCACCACTCAATGGGTAATGGTTAACATGACTTTAACTGTACTTCATATATTTTTCCTCTAGTCCTGTTCTGAAATTCAGCGTCAGGTTCTCAAGAAGCATCAGGTGCATGCCTTGGTATGTGCAATAGATGCTGGTATTTATAGCCTTGGATATTTCATCATATATCCATCGCTTGTGCTGTCAACCTCTAGATCTGTTTCCACTACGTCTAACTGACAGGGCTCTCTGTGGTGCCTTACTTGATGGTAGTCTTGACACATAGCCAAACCATTTGATCTGTTGTCTCTTGATGCAGTTTAGCACTGGTGCCATCCCAACTTATTTCCTCATATCGTCATTTCTGATCCTCTCCCTTCCAGTTTTATTTAAGATTCGTTGTAGACATTTCATTTCTATTGTTTAGGATTTTGCTTTTGTTGCTGTTCATGTCCACCTTTGGTGTGGGTAACATAATGCTCGTAAAAATACCCCTTCATACTGTTTCTCTGAGCAAGATTAAATCGATTGCTGGTTTGCTAGGCCTGTCAATTGTACTTCCCAAACATATTGTATACTATTTTCTGTATGGGTTGACCAGGCAGACCAGTTCAAATTGTAAAAACCACTTTGGTAATGCAGGGAGGAATAGACCGCGAGTTCTATGTGATATGTAAAGGCACAACATGGTAATGATCATGATGATGTTGGTTTTTGGACATGTTTTGAGCAGAAACTGACCTATGAACTTGGTAAAAACTGACAAGATTGATGGAACAAGCAAGGGGAAAGTTTAAAAAAAAAAAAAAAAAAAAAAAAAAAAAAAAAAAAAAAAAAAAAAAAATCTTGATCGCTTGGCCATTTGGATGGGATGAGACAAAAACACTGACCTGATGTATGATTAGGGTGACTGTGATGGCGAAGCATGACAGCCTTTGCTAACCACCATGGCACGTAATGATGATGATGATGATCTTCTTCTTAGCGTTCACTGATCGTAAACTCTGGCAGAAAGTTCTGGTTATTCGTCTGCTTCTAGACTTTGGTCCTTGTTCCAGAACTTGAGTTCTGCACGCACATTAGTTTTACAGATCTGGCTGTTTGCAGACTGTTATTTTCTCACCTCTCAGGCGGATGCTTTTCAACTTCAAAGGAAACACCCCTATTTAGTAGCCTTTTATGGCATGCTTGTTAAAGGGCAGTGGGTTTACTGTTTTTTTTTTCCCCCTTCTAAAATGGGGCCCCAGAACCCACAATGGGAGATGATGATGATGATGGCAGTGCACAAAAATGCAGAGACAAACAAATCTTACATCAGATGCACACCATTCACAGAAAAGCACAAGGATATCCTCCAATTTAATCTGTATAGTAAATGCACCTTCCCATTCTGGATCAAATTCTAGGTGCTGACCTGTCTGTCTTTTCACAGAGTCCATTCCCTAGTGACAACAAATTTGCAGATTGAAATATCAATTATGTACTTGCTAATTAGTTTCACAAACAGGTTAGTAAAGCAAGTAAATTAAGGACCCTTTGCACGTCATAAGCGCATTGGGAATTTGATGCTAGACTAATATTTTTTTTTTTACACCAGTTGGCCCTAAATTGATAGGGAGCCACTGTGGCGTAGCGGTTAGACGGCTGTATGGGGATCAAAAAGCCATAAGTATGGGCCCTGACAGAGCTAGGTTTTTGTTGGGAAAAAAAAAAAGACCTTGGCTCCCAGTCAGCACTCAATAGGAGATGTGGTCAAAATCAAGAATCCTCGCCGACTGAGGAGGTATACGGAAGAATAGGTCATATTTCATAAAAAGAAAAACAGTCCAAAACAGAGGTTCTGGAAAGACTACAGATGAAAAGATAATTACTGAAAAAAGTAAAAATAAAGAGACAATTGAAATACTTTTGGCCACATTAAAAGACATAACACACTTTTAAAAACCATATTGGAGGGAAAGGTCGAAAGCAAGAGGTGGGCAACAATACAAGTGGCAGGACAATGTCAAGAGATGGAGGGGCAGCAGTCTGGGAGAGTGTACAAACACAGGGCCTGCTGGAGATCCATTGCAGCCAACCTTTATTTTGGAGACAGCACCTGATTTACGAGGTATAGCTGTCTTATTAGGCTGGACTGGGAAACTACAGCGACACAACTATGCCGCTCACAACAATCATCAAACCCAAGATTTAGACAGAAGTACCTTTTCTTCTCATTAATACATACAGAGGTACCTCACAATCTGAACATAATCTGTTCCAAGATGGAGTTAGAATTCCAAATCATTAGAATTCCACTTGAGTTCCCAGGCAAAATTTAATTGAAACTTGCATCCACATGCCAAGTTGTTCCAGTCTGGAGGCTTTTGGAATCTGAGGTACCACTGTATTACATTTTGTAGTCCAGGTATATGGCCTCAGCACTACTCAGAGTTGACTTTTTAGCTCACTCTCTTGATTTCTGTAGGAGGTAATTGCAATTATGGTGGCGACTGTTGGCCCTCTAGTGACAGCTTCATGCGTTCACTGTGTTTTTAATGTTTTGCCAAGACTAATTGTTTGTTCACTAGTTTATAGGACAGTGAGGGACACTTTGTGTAATTTTCATTTTCACTGGCAAGAAACAGAGCAGTTTTGTGGTACCCATGTGCAGCGAAGTTGAAAGCTTAACTACTCTCCGTAAGTAAAGTAAAGGACCCTTTTCCACATCTCTCAGACGTATTGGGCATATAGGGCTAGACTTAGTTTTTACACCAAACACCACTTGGTGGGTGATGTGGTCAGCATCACGCCAGCTGCCCAGGACTGTACCTTGTACCCACTCAAGGACCCAGTCAATTTTTTTTAAAGTAGCTCCCGTCAAGAACCAAACCCAGGACTATCAAACCCACGATCCACAGGCGAGCATCTAGCCGCTAGACCACAGCGGCTCTCAACAACTCTCTGTATCAGATATAAATTTACATAACCTCTTTATCTCATTATTGACTTAAAATACTAAATATATCCCAGCTGTTATTTTAACTCTTTCTGTTTCATAGCTTTATTATTTCAACTTATAAGGACTCAGAGAATGCTAATCCAAAGCATATAAACTGCAAGACTGAAAGTACAGAAGTTAATGCTGTGTAAATTAGGTCACTCTGCACTCATTTTGTTGAGTGTGCAAATCATATATCTCAACGGTCAGGTGATAAAATAATAAATGCTGACCTGTATCAGAAACAGAAGTCTCAGGAAGGCAGTCAACCCACTCAAGAAATTGTCTCTCAGAGATTCAGACCATTCGTCAGTGGTTGTTGGTTTGCATACTAGGGCATACCTAAATTGGATGAGAGAAAAGACACTGTTACACCCAGCGCATGCAATAACTATCAATTAATGCATAACTGTACCATTAATTTTGTCAACAACAATTTACGACCAAAACAAACAAATATTCAGAAGCATTAAATAATAAATATAGATTTGTAATCTAACATGATCATCATCATCATCACGATGTGCAGTTTAATGTCACATAGGGCTCACTGTATTTTCCTTTATTCCATTTTATCATGTGCAATTTTGTCTATATCATAGATAGAATCCAATCCAGGACGTTGACTTCTCTATCTTGAAGGTTCATCCTAGTTTTTTTTTTGACTTTCTGTTTCTGCAATCCATTTTTTTCTTTCTCAGTGCCTGTTTAGTGGTTCTCTGTCCTTCTCTTTTCACGATGAACTGAATATATACCACCATTTTCCTGGCCCTCCTTTCTCATCCAGGCTTGCGACTGAAAATGGTCGATATTTCCCTTACAATAGGTAACAGTAAATATCCCAGTAAGTAAAAGCTGCCATTGTTATTTATCACCACTACATGTCATGGAGTGCCGGTTAGGTTAAAACATTGATCTGGCACCATATACCCAAAAAGGAGTAGTTTACTAGTTTATAAGTCCTTTGAGTTTAGAAAGGATTAATGCGAGCCCTTATAACAAACATAAGTCACATCGTGTTAGGATGAACCAAAATTGGATTAAAATGCAAAAACAATTCCGAGGTCAAAAAGAACAAATATGGACCTCAGTGAGAAACCTCTAGCTCACCTGAGATCAGAAAGAACAAACACACAGCTAGAAGAAACATATATAAGACTTCAGGTCAGAAAGAACATGGTTCTCAAATACAAAAATTCGAGTCACTTTGGGTCAGAAAGAATAAACATGGATTGCAATGATCAAACATACAAGTCAGTTCAAGTAAGGATTACAAAAACGTGGATTACACTGCAAAAAGAATTCACTTCAGGCCAGAAAGAACAAACACATGGGCCTCATTCAGAAACATCTAATTCACTTGAGATCAGGAAGAACAAACACAAAGATAGAAGATGAACATATAAAACTTCAGGCAAAAAAAAAAAAAAAATAGGGATCTCATTGACAAACATTAAGTCATTTCAGGTCAGAAAGAACAAACAAAGACCTACATATTTAATACAAATAAAGGATTAAAAATGGTAGGGGAAAGAGGCAGAGGAAGACCAAGAGAGAAGATGATTATCTGTGACAGAGCTGACTGAAAATATATGAAACATAAGACTGTTGGTAGACATGACTACCAATGCCACAGGGCAGGGACTGTAAGAAGAAGAAACATATAAAACATCATGAACAGTTATAAAATACGTGGATTAAAGATCATGTGGATGTGCATGGCAAATATTGATATATATGACAATATATGACACAACAGAGTTTATCACAAACTAAACTCACTTTAGGTCATGAAGGACAAACATGGACCTTTTAAACACACTGTTTCTTTCTGCTCTGTCAAAGGATAACTTTCCTTGCTCTGAAGAGGGGAAAATAAAGATATTTAAAAAAAAAAAAATTGTATGCACAAATAAGACAGCCTGTGAAATGATTTCCATAAATTTATACTGAATATAACTTGCAGACACAGGATCTGAAATGAACTTAACCAAAGCAACTGTGATAAGTGACCAGGCTATGGAGTTCATCAGAGAGGACAAAGTAGATGGGAAAAGGAGATAGTGACAACCTAAGGAAACTAGGAGAAAGGAAAATGAAGCAATGTCAACTGAAATGGGATGTATGTAAAAAGGTGCATCAGGCATATGGGAAGTGAACCCATATTTTTAAAGACCAATCGGAACTAGGTAGGTAATGTGGTCAGCATTACGACGGCTGTCTTTACTTCCCCAGGACGTACATCCTGGTACCCATCTGTGACGCCCCATTCCATGATAAAAATCCACGCAGCCAGCAGTAGGTTTTGATCGCTGTACATTGGAATTATGAGTCAGACTAGCAATGCCTAGGCCATGGACGCCACAGGATATATGTACTAGGAAGAAAAAAAAAGGAACAAACTGGCAGTAAAGGCAATCATCTGTCAATGCCTTAAGTGTCAACAGTGACATAAGAAAGAGAAGGTAGACATAAATATTACTTGCAAAGTTAGGTAAAATAGCCTCAACTCAATAAAATATATACATTGTTTTTACTCACGGTTTTTCTTCCGCTCACAAGCTGCAAGAAATGCCTTCACTATCACAGTGAGGAGATCATGTTCTGCGATCAACATCCTAGCCTGCATGAGCCAATAAACGATGCATCATTAAAACACTACAGAATGCATGTTCATCTATCTAGGCAGTTGCCAGATTATACATAATTTTGTCTAATACGATGTTTGACTTCAATTATATTATTTGGTAAATTAAATCTATATACTTGATGTTCAAATAAACTAAATTTATCTATTTATCTTTTAAGTAAATTAGATCATTTAATGAAGTTAATGTGTGGTTATCTCTGGTGAACTGGGAGCCACCATGGTGCAGTGACCTTAGCTCCCAGGTCGATTGAACCACAAAAAGGTACCAGGTAAAGTCTTGGGAAGTAAAAATTGCTAGTAGGATGTTGACTACAAGACAAATAAAGTTATAATTGGTCTATAAAATATACATCTAGCATGATAGGACAATTACGCCTGAAGACGTAGAAATGGGTCATTTTTAAAGCATTTTGATAAAATTATGGGAGTTTGTAATAAATCTGTGTGTTAACAGACACTACATTTTGTGTGTAGCATCACATGAAGATAACTGCAGCAGCAGCAGCTGATAGCATGCTTGCGAGCGCTACCTACTGTTTACATTCCTTTCAATTCTCAAATATGACATGATGTTAATTAGATTATCTGGTAGACTTAATAAGTAATACATATGATATTAAAAGTAAACATACTAGCATTTGTTTTTAGATCAATAAATGAAGTCAAAATGTGAAAGTGTAGGGCACAATGTACAGTAAAAATGACTAATAAATGCTTTTATTTCATGAGAACACGCTGTTATGTTATGTATAACGAGATTTGATTAAATCTCTGTATTTCTTTTCTTAATCTGTGTTCACCCCCCCCCCCCCCCCCCCCCCCCCCCCCCCCCCCCCCCCAAGGATCGTTGGTACTGTGTTGTAGTTTACAGCTCTGCTGCAATAATTGTGCCCTTCGGCTCAACACATCCAATTTCAGTAACACCTTTATCAGTCGCCTATTATGACATGCTTGTTGGGGGTGGGGGCAGTGGGTCTATACTTTTTTATATCCTAAAATAGGTCCTTAGAATCTATATGGAGAGGGCAGGAGGTGGGGAGCATAGGTAATTGTGTGTGTGTGGGGTGGGGATGGGAGGGGGGGGGGGGGGGTTCAGTGAAAACAACTTTTCTATCATGCAGCATATCCTTTAAAAACACTGCTTAAGAGCTTAGAAAGTCCCTCGATCTCTTGCCAATTCTGAATGCCTTGTGTATTTCCATGGCCAAAGTGTCTCCAGTCTCCACTGTCCCATGCCTACTTCGTCCTGGTCAACCACTGATTCTTCTTCAAAGGAACTTCAACTTTAAAAATGGTATTATTAATCTGTTTGAGATAAACCGGGAAAACTGGACTGGATTGCGTTATCAATGAAATAACTGTCTTCAAGTGAGCACTGGTTAGTTAGTGAGTCAGTTAACTGACCAATCATTCTCCTCACACATTAGACCGGTCCATAAGTGCTTGGATCCCATCTTTAGTATCTCCCTCAGCATGTAGTGACTGATAACACTAGTTCTATGTTGGTTTAATATTTGTCTTTGTCTACCTTTCTAGTGTTCCTGTCTGGCAATACCTATTGACATGACGTTCTTGTGGTCTTGTTAAGGCTGCTGATTCTCCATTGTCTCCTGAATCATCTACTTGTCCTGCCTCCTGACAGCATTAAGAACACTGACACCGTCCATCACTCTTCCTGTGCTTACCACGACCCTGCCAGCAAGCTAATCCACTCAGAGGTTCCAACCACTGTCTCTGAACCCATCCTGCCTCCATATTCTTAAGCATGTTCATCGAATCAGTTAGAAAGCACATGCAGGAAAAAACCTGTGTCTCTAGCCAGGCACTTCAGATGTTATTTTTACTAAACCACTGCACAATTTCTTCCTCTTTTACCTCTTCTGGTGTTGACGGAGGTATAAGGTTCTGTTCCTTGCTCTTCTAGCCACCTTGATCAACACACTGTATTAGTGCAGAGTTGCTCCGACATGTATCTTTCCATTCTGTTCTTGACCTACCTCTTGCTCTTCGTCCTTCTACCCTTTTGGTGTATGCCCTGAATGGTATGGTGTCGAATGGGCATAAGTGGACAACCATTTTATCTGGTGACTATGTAATTCAGAACTGGTTCTATGCCAACTTGTTCTCTTATGACTTCATTCTGGATACTATCTCTTCTGGTCACTCCTGCTGTCTTTCTCGAACATCTTCTGAGACTGCTGTTTATGGGCCAGTCCTCCTTGAAATTCAAATCCTGTAGAATTTCATCTTTTCTTTACTTTGGTTCAGGGTATTCTAAGTATTTTATTCTATAAAAATGTGAAACCTTTGGCTTTCTTCTTGAGTAAATGTGAAATAATTCATGCCTCACATCCATATGGTGCCTCAGGAAAAATTGTATGTTCTCAAAACACTTTTCCTTAGCTAGTCTAGCAGAAAAAAATGGCACTGCGAGGAGTTACCAGGGGATCTGTCCGATGCTAAACACTCAAGGGAAAGGTGGGACGGATATACAATCAGACAGTTACTGATGCCATCAGAACTGGAACTTTTCATTTGCTGCTGAAGATGGGGGACGGAGCGCTTATGGGTGTGTCCCAAATGCTATGATGTTGATTCTTAATTCAACATTCAACAGACACTAAATTAATGTATTTTATACCATTTCCACTTTAAACTGGACATTCTTCAAACCATCTAGGATGGTTTTTTTTTTTTTTAAACCTGATCTAATCAGAAAAACATACTAGGCAGTTTCCAATTGTCCAGCTTAGTTTGAAAAACTAGTTGGAAATCATCTGGTTTGTTTTGAAAATGTCCAGTTTAGAGTGAAAATGGTTATATATCATAAACTATGACACAAGGAATGGCATATTTTTAGCAGTGATCACATAAGTACTGTAAAAAGTAATGGAAAGTTAAAAAAAAAACTGTTTAGATGTAAATCCCACCATTTGTTAGTTTAAAAAAATGATAACAGGAAGCATGCAACAACATGCACATGCTAATTAAAATATGCATTCATAGAATAATACTAAAAGCAAACTCGAATTTTTGTTAAACCTTGCATTTAAACAACAATGATGAAAAATTAAAAGAAGTTTAAAATGTAAAAAACCATCTCAACATTAGATCACCAAGCTCATACAAGAAAGATGCAAGCTACTGCTCTAGGTGTGTCAGGTAAGAGGCCTTCTCACCTAAGGTTCTGGAACTTGGGGGTTCGGACTGTTTGGGACACCCCCCCCCCCCTCCCCAACCAAAAGAATTACAAATAGGGTATCTGGAAGAAGTTTGGCAGTAACTGGGGAGGGGGAGGGGGCCTTAAGAAGAATTAACCCCTTCAACTGCTTTTTAAAAGTATCTGCTTATACATTTCATATTATTTCAAACATATTTATTTGACTAACCACAGTATTATTACGCTCGTAAACTAGGATAAGGCCCCTTGAGGTCTCCTTCCTCCACCTAGAATATTTGTAAGGTGTTGTGTTTGACAGCTAGGTTGCAATATCTGTGTCTTTCTGCTCTACACCTCCGATTTCAGCAAACTCCTAATTAGTAATCTACATGCTTGTTAGAGGGGTATTAGTCTCTACATTTTTTTGTCAACAACAACAACAACATGGGGCCCTAGGATCCACACTGGTGTTCCAGTACACTGTAATCCACACAAAATGGTGTTTAGATGCATACTTTTGCATGTCAAACTCTGAAGGGCATGAGCTGCATCACTAGGTTCAAGGGTGTAATTTTTATGGAGATCCATTAGGACTGTCATCAGAGCTACAGGGGGGTTAATGCTTTGTGCAATACTGTTGGCAGGCGGCTAGCTATTCTGAGGACAGATCGAGCCATATGGGATCAAACCTGGTGCAATTAAGTCGATCCTCTCAATTTGAACTAGCTGGTAGTCATATCAATATCAGTTCAGTGAAGGTTGACCAAAATGTACAAAACTGTCAATGAGATACAGTTCCTGGAAGAAGAAGCCTGACAGTAATAGAAGGTATAGTTCCTGGAAGAAGAAGCCTGACAGTAACAGAAGGTATAGTTCCTGGAAAAATAAGCCTGACAGTAACAGAAGGTATAGTTCCTGGAAGAAGTGTGACAGTAACAGAATGTATAGTTCCTGGAAAAAGAAGCCTGTTAGTAAAAGAAGATATAGTACCTGGAAGAAGAAGCCTGACTGTAATGGAAAGTATAATCCCTGCAAGGACCATAATGGAAGGCATGGTCCCTGCAAGGACAATAACAGATATTAACCTAATTGGAGGAAGAAGCAGGAGTTGGGCCAACATGATGGCAAACAGAGGACATTTGAGTTACCTTACATATTTAGAATATATGGCTACTTTAAGACTGCATTTCTAATGTATCTAGTGGCAAAAATGTAAGGCTTTTTTTTTTTAAACCAACTTTAGCTTGGCTTCTAGGTGAACTCAGCTAAGCTCTTTACATATTAAACAACGTGTTAGTGGATATTATTGTCAACATTAAAACATTTTATGAATGTTTGCACATCATGGCAACACAACCACATTTTAGAAGGAAATGTTCTCAGATGACAGAAACAATCTTTTCAGTTTCATACAGCCCCCTAACAATTCCCGTTAGTACATGCAAAGCAACAGGTAACATGTTAGTAAGTAGATTTAAAAAAAAAAAAAAAATTTTTTAACAAGAAACAAAAACAAGGGGTGTGCAAGTGTGGCAAGTGAAAAAAAAATTTAAAAAAGCAAGCAAGCAAGCAATGGTCTAAACAGATATAAAAATTCAGCAGCCATTTGAGGATTTTGAGCTTTGCAAGACAACCACCACTTCAGATGAGCCAAAGAGACTTTAAGACTTCTGATTTTCAAAATAGGTTTGAAAGATTATGAAAATACTAATACTGTCCGACTGATTTAATTCGTATTAAACTTCTGAATTATTTTATTAGTAAAATGTTATCTAATGTTTAAAACACAATGAAAATGTTTTTAACAGAACTGAAGGATTAATAAACTTTTCTTATCTTGAGGCCAACAAATATCAAGTATTTACAATGGATCTACCAAGCTTATAGTGTAAACTGATAAGGCCCACAACTGATTAAATGATAAGTACATTTTTTTTAATACTATGAAATGCTAATCAATCTTATTTTTGTCAAATATTTTTCAGACATTTACGTGGGAAATGACCACTTTTACTGCAACAACCTGATACATTTTTGAAGCTATGAAGCTTTCCCCAGCATAATAGGGCCCCGGAACCCGTAAAGGGATTATGTTAATTTGTTTAGTTTCTTTAAACTCAGTTTCACAGCCGTTACCTAAATGAGTTCAGTTGAGTTGATTCAAGAACCGACATCACAGCACTTAGGACATTCCCACAAGTGCTTCGTTCTTATCTTCAGCAGCCAGTGCAGAGTTCCGATACTAATGGTGCCAGTAGCATTCTGATTAAACGTCCGTTCCTCTGAACCTCAAGCATCTGCCAGAACCGCTAGTCATTCTCCACTGCATCAGTCTCACCAGACTGTGGTGATCCATCTGCTCCTCCGAACTGTACACGCTATCCCACATGGCACTAACCACGTCTGCTTTATCATGCATCAGTATTCAACCAAGTTATCTTACCTAAATATTTGTAAACCAAATTGATCTATGGTTTTGTAATTTGACTGTGTAGGGTTCACCTTCTTATTATCCGGGACGTATGATGTTGGTCATCTCCCCATCCGTAGACATCTGTCTTGTGTACTGCAACTAACGTCTGATACAAATCTTCCATGTGCTTACATCAAACTAACACTCTCTCTTGGTCCCCTTTTGTCTCTGTCTCTCCTCATGTTCTTGTTGGTCAAATTCAACTGCAGTATGAAGGATGAGTGTTTGTAAGGGCCTGCAAGTCAATTCTGTGACCCATTTAAAAAAAATAACTACATTCTTTACCTGGTCCAAATTTCTTATCACAATGTATTCTAGTTCCCCCCCCCCCCCCCCCCCTTGCTGAAAACTACTCCAAAGAATGTCAACTGTCTTCATCTTTTGCAGGTAATCTGTTGTCTTTATAAGTTAATTTCTTCTATCTTTTCATTATATTTTTTTATCTGCCCACTGTGTTATTAATCTTCTAAGTTGCTACATCTCTACAGCTTTCACGCTAATTTGTTGGCTGTTCATCATTTATATATGAGATTACCAACCTAATTTTCCCTAAAAGATTTTAAACCCCCTACCCCCCATTTTTTTTTTTTAAATACAAAATGCAATACCCCAGCTATCTATCCTAGCTCCCCCAGAGGCAAGAGAAAAACCTACCAAGTGTGGGCTCCCAAACACTTGCAAGGACAAGCATGTAATGGAGACAGACCGAGGGTGATCGTCTTGCATAAACTCTTCGATCATCATAGAATAGCACTAGAAGACACACAAAAAAACAAATGATGCTAGAGTGACTGCAATCCCAAAGGAAACGGGGAAGGTGTTATGTTAGTCTTGTAGAGAAACTATACTAGTGATTATGGTTAGACCACAATACAGATTCATAAATTAGTGCTCAATTACAGAAGATAATCTTATGTAGCGGACAGGAATGAAGTGCTATAAGGCAACTCTGAAGGGGCTGTGGAACATTTACTCGCATCCAAATTTCTAGTACTGGGTTTCCAAGCACCGGAATAAATATGTGCTGATTTGTATGTAGATATTAAAATGCAAAGTGTACATGACAGAACTCTGTGTTCAATGAGCTGTACTGACAGCAAGATAACCCAAATAAAAGGTTTAAGAAGACATGACAAACAGAATATGTGTCTCTAAGCACAATGTTTTTGGGTACACATTCTATTAATAAAATCTGCATAAACGAGTAAAGCTAATGATTAAAGCATGTTCACAGATTTCAATTATTCCATACAAAAAGATCTGAGCAGGACAAGCAGCACAAAGCTGAAATTAGAAACACATAAGTGCAACTCTTGTGAGGATTCTTTAAAATATCTCAACGTATGTCTTAATAAACAATAAGGTTTTAAATGTGCACAAACTGTGAACAATCTGACAGACAAAGTTTAGCCTAACATGGGAGGAAGAAGATCCTGGACTAACAGACACATTTTATAGTATCTGTCAAAAATACTTCAGATGGACCACATTACCTTTTCTACTAACTTTATCAGAAAAAATTGAATGGAAATGCCAATAGCATCAGCCACTCTTTCCAGAAATAAACAACAAAACTTAACCCTACACTTTCATACCACAGTCAAGAAAGAGAATACAAATTTGTCAAAGTCAAAAACTTTAATTAAAAGACAACATATATAAACATGTCTGTACTACTTGTGCCTATTGGACATGTAAAAATTCAAACGTGTAAAACAAGAAACTGTATCTCAATAGAAAGCATTTGCGGCAGAAGGATATAACTGTTTGTCTGTAGTTATTGTAGCAACTACAAGATAATTTTTTTTTTAACTTAAATTTTATGTTAGTATAGACATGTTGAGTAAACGTACAAGAGAATGAATATGTATGTAAACATACATACATACATATACAGTGTAGTAAACACAGGATGATCAAAAAGCAACTATACACCTTTGAAAATTGCATAAATTTTATTTTCTTAACCTCTCTAATCACTATATGTAGCATATCTGTGTAACAAAATTTCTAGTCTCATTTACTTACAGATATAACAATACTATCTTATGGGCTCAAAATCACCTAAGGGACTTAACGCCCAACACAGCTTAATCTAATACTTTTGCATTATGACCCTTTTCTGTCAAAACTTGTTTCTTTCTAACTAGTACTCATCTCGTGCATGTCTCAGAGCCCCAAGTGGCCAGACAGACATGAGGATTTTTCTTAAAGATACCTCAGTTAAGTAATCCAGTGTGTGCCTGTTTATAACTGTAGCACTGTCATGTGCTGATGAAACTTTTCTAGCCGCAACGTGCACCTATCATTTGTGAGTGTGACAATGTGAGGCTGACTTTTTGTTTGGTTTGATATCTTTTCATAATTTAGATTCAGCAGGTGTATTGTTACTTTTGGAACATGTAATTTGTAAGTAAAGTTACTTTCTAAACACTGTGTATGTACATCCAAACCGAAATATAACAAAAACAGAAAGTATAACGCTACAAGCTCAATGAGAACTCCTGCAAGATGCAACAGATACCATGGGGCAGCAGGTTATGCAAGCTGGACCACCTACCAAACTGGGAACAGTAAAAATCTGTACAGAGAGGCTGGGCATGGAGACGTCATGGTCATGATCGTCTTCACTAAATTCTCGGACCATATATGGATACCACTGTGGACAAATTAGACCACTCATGCAAAAACAGAAGGAAACCGCTGGAAGAAAAACTGAAATCGTGTTTCTTTAAAAAAAAACCTTATGTAGCACAAACATACAGTACACTATCAATGATATATACTAAAACTGACTAGAAAAGCCAGCAAAAGACAACAGTTGGTACAGTGGTAGCAATATAGACGAAGACGGAGTAACAGACGATATGGATAATAAGCATTATGAAATCTGTACAAGTGAAAGAAAATTAGAAACAGTAACATATTAAGAATATTAAACTGACACGCAATAAGTATTGATGAATGGAGCAGAAACATGGAGAAATCAAATAATTATAACTAAACTTACAAATTTATTGTGCCTATGCAGTAAGAATTAATTATGACAAAATATTTATGTGAAACTTTGGGATAGAGCTAAAGAGTGAATCAAGAGGCGAGGAAAACAGTTGATTCTGGAAAAAACACACTGAGAAACAACTTATAGGTTAGGTCTCGGTCAGATATTGAGCTACCTGTTTTATGTTATGCCGAATGTTGGGCGCGTTTACCAAACCTGACAACCCATACTGTACCAGCGACTTCGGGCGGAGGAGTGTATTGGGGAGGATACTAGCTTTATCCTAGGAAAAGGAAATGCAGCCTGAAAACTTTATGTTATGGCAGGGCAGACCAGGCCCTTAGCCTTGGCTGGCAGCTGGTCTAGGAGCATAGCTCTGACAAGCAGACAGATAGAGCACTGCTCTCCTGATCCCGCAGCTTCTGCAGCCTGCTTTGTTCCAAATGTACTGGTGTTACCTTTTCTTTGGAGTAAACAAGGCAGGTCGAGGGAGGGATCATGATGCATGGGCAACATATGGTCTCTTCAATACTGCGCAGGCTTTGAGCAATGGAGAGGATGAACTTCACCCCTGGCCGTAATTGACACAGGCGGGTCTTGCTAGTCACACTCGCCATCGCCACGGGCTGTGAGCCCCATGCCTCCTCATAGCGCAAAATAACACTATTGTCAGAAAAGATGGAAAGATGCCAATCAATATATATATAGTAAAAGAGACCTGAAACATATGGAGACTGTGGTCAAGATGTGGAAGAGATATATAGTGAGCAGAATGTGAAGGAAAAGGATAGGACAACATGCCAGGAGTTGATGGAAGACATATGCTCCACATGGGCAGAATAAGAATTCCTAGCAAGAGCTAGCACTTGATGACAACCTCAAAGATGTTCAGGATTATTCAGTGGACATTCAAGTGTCTGCATACTGATTTTCCCATAAAAACTTGACCTCATATTTCTGCACCAACCTGTTAGATGCTTCCTGCTGAGTTCAGCTGCAACCCAAGTTGATTTAAATATCTTAGACTGAAAGATGTTTCATGAATAAATGGCAACTTCTTCTTTTTCTGCGTTCACCCCAAGATGTAAATGCGTTGTGCCTGTTTACAACATGGCTGTGATATTTGTGCCTTTCGCCCGACACATCCAACTTCTGCAGGCATGTGTTGCCTGTGTAAGCCTTCCCAGAAATAGTTACTTATTTACTGAATCACACCCTCTGGCTGGCTGGGTGAATAAATGTAATGGGTATCACTTTACTTAAGACGCATTATCAGCTGGAAGTATTGTGACTGCAAGAAGCTGATTGTTCCTGTGCTTATGTTTCTGAGGCACACTGATTATGAATGTACCAACGGTTGTCCTCCTTGTTACCATGTCTGCTGATACCACAGGCAACAAGGCATGACAAGGGTCTCAGACTGGCTGATGGACCAAACTTCTATAGTAGTCTGTTGCAGCATCAGCCCACTGATCTCTTTGTAAAACTACACTTGGATACAAATCTTGTTCCTCTGTCTTCTGGGGTTCAGGTCACGATTGTAGTTCTAATAATGGTGTCAGTCTCTCATAAGGACATGGACAGTACAATTCTAATATCTAAGTGTTATAATTTCAATAGCTGCCCAGTATAAGCAACTGTTCGCCAATTTATGCCGACTGATACAGACAATTTCAGAACACCAGAGATGCACAGCAACAGTGTTACCCAACTACTATCCTAGCTTCAGGTAACTTCGACACACTTAAAATAATTTTCTTATGCATGTACACTTTTATGATGGTCTTTAAAAAAATAAATACATTTTAAAATGACAAATCATCACTTAAGTCTCATTATCATTATACTCTTGTGCTGTTACGCATCACATAAGGCTTACAGTCTGGTCTTCCATTCCTTTTTATCCAGTGCAATCCTGTCAATATCATGAATGGAATTATATTCAGCAGCTTTGACCTCTTGCATCAACGACTATCTTAAGGTTTCTCTTTTTCTCAATCCATGGTTCCCATTTCAGATTCTGTTGGGGATTCTGTCCGCATCTCTTCAAGCTTTACTCAACAAATCATCTTCTTAATCTTAGAACCGTTGATACCAATACCAGTGGTTATCCAGATATTTCTCTTATTTTTCATTGCCTTTATCATCACATTTAATGTTCTAATTTCCTCAGATAATTGTTTTCAAACGCATTTAAACATTCTATGTTTTAGTGATTCGCAAACATTCACTGATTTAAGTTCAAAATGAAATATCAGAACTAAAAATTTGTAACTTGGTTTTAATATGATATAATTTAGAGTTTCATATTTTATTGAGGCTATAAAAGCAGCTGTTTCTTTGTCAATGTGTACTCAGCAAATATACTGTTTTTGTTCTGCACAAAATTATACTTTAATATGTTATAATCTCAACTGCTTTGTGTAGTCCATACTATGTGGTGTTGGCCATGGCTGTCAGCATCCTTCATGTACTGCCAATCATTTCTGATACAGATGTGCTTCCATACTATGTGGTGTAGGCCACATCTGTCCACATCTTTCATGTACTGCCAATCTTTTCAGATACAGACGTGCTTCCATACCATGTGGTGTTGGCCACATCTGTCCACATCTTTCATGTACTGCCAATCATTTCTGATACAGATGTGCTTCTATACTATGTGGTGTGTTGGCCACATCTGTCCACATCTTTCATGTACTGCCAATCATTTCTGATACAGACGTGCTTCCATACCATGTGGTGTTGGCCACATCTGTCCAAATCTTTCATGTACTGCCAATCATTTCTGATACAGATGTGCTTCCATACCATGTGGTGTTGGCCATGTCTGTTCACATACTTAATGGATTGCCATACAATTTTGATACATATGTGCTTCCAAATTGCCATATAAATTAGTTGTTCCTTGACCTAATTTCACCTCATAATAATGATGTCAAACTGTCCAACACCCTCTCTTGCTTATGTCTCCCCCTGCCCATCTTTTTGTCCATAACTTTCTTTTTACCTCAACTCAGTCCAGTTGGGAGTCCTTTCATGACATGCCCGAAGAATTAATTGGATTACACTTCCTCTGAAGCAAACAATAATCACATTCTCAATCTGTGTTAAATTCATTTAAAACTGAAAGAAAAGGCTGCAATCGGAATAATTTAGCCAACAAATCACAATTGGTGTTTCAAAATAAAGTAGTATTTACCTTTGTGAATATCACAGAGAACTGTTTTTTAGAAGGAGGGTCTTTTAGAACGCTGAAAATAAACAGTGTTAAGCGTTTCACATTCATGGTCAGACTGATCTGCTTACTAACATGTTCTTCTTTTGCCTCTTCACAATGAAAAGATGTTAGTTGAATTGTTAATTTACAGACAATCTGTGATATTAACACATTCAGGTCAATACATTCTTAAAGTGACAAATATTCTTCTTGTTAAGTTCATTGGCGGTAAACGATGGAAAGTCCTGGTTGTACATCTGCTTCTGAACTTTGGTTTTGTTCCAGAACTTGAGTGTTGTGTGCACATTTGTTTTACGAATCTGGTTGGTTTTGTTCCAGAACTTGAGGTGTGCACATTTGTTTTACAAATCTGGTTGGTTTTGTTCCAGAACTTGAGTGCTGTGTGCACACTTGTTTTACAAATCTGGTTGTTTTTTTTCCAGAACTTGAGTGTTGTGTGCACATGTTTTACAAATCTGGTTGATTTTGTTCCAGAACTTGAGTGTTGTGTGCACATTTGCTTTACAAATCTGGTTGGTTTTGTTCCAAAACTTGAGTGTCGTGTGCACATTTGTTTTACAAATCTGACTTAGCAGTGTCAAGACAGTTGGCTCCTGTTGTAGTTAATGCATGAATATGAGGGTTAGGTAATGTTCTATTATTTATTTCTGATATGTAAACTAAACTGAATACCAAATTTCAACTGATCACAGGGTAAGGGGCCTGAAACTGTGGAGGTTTGGAATGAATGAGAACTACAGTCTTCATGCCTTGCATGAAAGGGCTCAGGTGGGGATAGTAATTGTGTGGACTGAAGATTAGAACCATTTCACTCCATGTAGTCAGGAGGTCAGAAGGGAGAGACACAGTTCACTGCTAACAGTCTGTATGAGCAGACGTGTCAGTCTGGCAGTGGTCATTACTGTAGGGTGAAATTTTGGACTTCTGTAGACGTGTGGTGGTGTTGGTACTAGCCTGAGTGTTGCCAGGTTAGCACTGTGTGTATCCATGCATCATATGGTTCAAGAGAGACAAGTAACTTCATGTTCTTAGAAGACTCTGGCCGAAACTGGGGTTAACCAGTGGTGATGTCAGTGACCTAGATGTCAGGGAATACCCGGAATTTGTGTAACTAGGCAGCAGATGGGAGTCTGGATCTTCCACAAGGCTTTGTGCATATGCCTAGAGCTCCTTAGATGACAAGGTTTCTTAGTTACAGAGATGTCAGAGGACGGTTTCTTTTGTTTCTATTTATCTTTATATGTTGCTAAAAATATTACATTTTTGCTCAACTATTATGTCCTAAGATAGTCTTCTTCAGGGATCACTGTGCCGAGGTTGTCAAACTGTCTGCCTCATGCTCTGAAGGTCAGGTTAATTTTACAGCTGCATCAATCTGTTTATGAGTACTATTTTGATGTAGACCCCTGGGGATCGTCGGCAGAGCAGCCTGCGGTGTTTGTGCGACGTTCTCGGCAGGTGGCCAGCTGTTCCGAGGAGACAGGATCAGCCATGTGGGGTAAAATCTGGTGCAAAGAAGTTGATTCTGACTTTACGATGGTCTTCTTGATGTAAGTAATCAGTTTTCTTTGGGAGTTGGTTTCTTTTTGGCTTACATACCCACATCTTATATATGCATTTAGTGTGTGACTGGCAGGTGGCTACACCAGGCTTGCAGTTTGTTCAAATTTTCACACCAGATAGTGAAAGCATCTTGTGTGGTTTTATTGGTACAGGAATGGAGCAATAATGGGGTAAATGTGGTGGATGTGCTTACAATGTTCAAAACAAGCAACACCTGACCCCTAGAACATAGGGCAGCCTGTGGGAAATGCTATTAAATCAAATGAGATAGGGTGGCAAATGTGAGTTGTACACCCTGTTATTAGGTGAATATTCCTAGAACAGAATGCTGAATCAAGAATCTACATTACAGCACTCAGGACTTTCCATAAGTGTCCTATCTCCATCTTCAGCAGCAAGCGCAGAGCACCCATAACAGTTTGACCATATATCCGTCTCGCCTTTCCTTTGAGCACTAACCATCAGTCAGATTTCCTGGTCACTCCTCGCAGCACCAATCTCCTCAGACCATAATGATTTGTGCCTCTGCACTATTCACTCACTCCCAAAAGACTCTTATAACATCTAGCTTGTTCTCAGAACAGGTAAATGCACAATTACCACAACAGAAGAGATACTAGATAGTACACTGATTAGCACTTCTGCCTGCTGACCCTGTATTCAAATACCCTTTAAAACAGAATAAAAAAAAAAAAATAACCTTAGCTTGCAGCCTAAAATGAGTACAAGGAAATGTGTGGTAAGTAAAGGCAGTGGGTGTGATAGCAATCACATCATCAATATAATACTAAGTGGTCTAAAAAAAATAATACTGGTTAGCATTATATACCCAAAATGCATCTCTCTTGCTACATAAGTAGGACAAAGTGCATGTCTTAGATCTGAAGATAAGCACTTACCATGACATCAGCAACTGGTGGCTCTGAACTCTGGCAACTGAAAAGAAGACAAATTTATGTTTTAGTTTAAATTTTTAAAAATTCCAGTAAATGATGTGTCTATTCTATTATCTGAAAAGTACTGGCCATCTTGATTAACAAATGTTTTTTTTTTTTAAATTTTATTAAGAATCTATTTATGAACACTATCTCCCAGTCCTTAAGAAAGCGAATATGTGCTTTTGCACTGAAATGCTATAGAAAGATTCTCAGAATATCTTAGACAAAGAAGACGAGAAATACTGACATCTTGAAAGATCTGAACATCAAGGAAGATTGGCTAATAAACAACATCCTGTCTCGAAAGCTGAAATATTTTGGTCATATCAAGCGCCCCGATGGATTGGAAAAAATAATAGCAGAAGGCATGGTACCAGGAAGGAGGGGCAGGGGCCGACCAACACGAAGATGGGCCCAAGATATAAATGACTCCTTGAGTATGAAAGTGCATGAGGCGGGAGAGCTGGCAAGAGACTGAGTTTCTTTCATGCAGACCGTGATGAGAGCGATGTTCTGAAAAGGACATGCTACATGACGATGATGATATATAAACACTATTCACAACCCTAATGTCTTTTTCTTCTTCTTCCCTTCCTCTTTGACTGCTTCGGGTGTCAAGGGAGATATAGGGTTCTGCTTATCTCTCTTCTTGCCGCATTGAGTGTAGACTGGTCATGCTTCTGTAGAGTGCCTCTAATGCTATCTTTCCATCTTGCTATTGGTCCGACATTTTGCTCTAAATCCCTTTCCTCTTTTAGTGTACGCCTTATAAGTTATAGTATCACTAGGCATTTTCTCTAATCAGGCAAACCATTTGATTTGCTGTCTGAACATGTAATTAAGAACTGGTTCTGTGCGACTTTTTCTCTTATGACCTCGTTCCTGATTTAATTTCTTCTGGGATCTCTTGCAGCCCTCCTCAGACATCTCATTTGTATGGTTTCTAGTGCTCTTTTCTGGTTTCTTCTCAATGACCATGACTGGCACTGGTAGCAGAGAGTGGGAATGAATAAACAATCCTTATATACCAGGGTTAAATGCCTGTGGCAAGTCAACTAGGAAAAAAACAAAACACTGTTCCTGTAATTTGTGAACAGTCATAAGAGAGTGGAAGAGACCGGGGCCTTACCCTGTATCTGTTATCTCTCCAAAGATAGCAGTGGATGGACATATCTACTGTAGAAAGATATGAAGCCAGGAATATTCGTATGCAGACTGCTGGTTCCTCCCTCTTAGGCAGATGTACTCCGATTTCAAAGGAAACCCTTAATTAGTTGACTCATATGAATGTTGAATTAAGAATCGAAATCACAGCACTTGTGACACTCCCATAAGTGCTCAGTCCCTATCTTCATCAGCAAGCAAAGAGTTCCAGTTCTGGTGGTACCAGTAACAATCTGATTGTATAACGGTCTCATCCTTCACCTGAGTGCTGAGCGTCGGCCAGATCCCCTGGTAACTCCTCGCAGCGCCATTCTCCTTAGACCGTAATGATCTATATGCATCTGTGCACCGTTCACATAGGGCCCTCACAATATCTAACTTATCATATATCAATTCACCACCAAGTGGTGCAGAGCCAGCCAGTCTATCTGCCTGCTCATTTTTCAACACACCAGCATAACCTGGAGAAAGTATCCAAAGGATGCTAACTACCGGGACCTCTGAAGTGATGCTTGCCACTCTGCATGAAGCATGCCTGTTTTCACCTTTCTCAATATGCTCTGTGAGTCAGTTACAATCATGGCATGTGTGTTCGACTCTTATGACATGCTTGTTAGGGAGGCAGTGAGTCAGAAAACAAATGCTTGATAAAGTTGGAAGTCCACTGAAAGGTTCTGATAATGCAGCTATGATGGAAATAAGGCACAACACAATTAGATCACTGGGGCGAATGTTAAAGAAGCAGCAGAAAGATCTAAAGTGATAACACTTGACATTGCAAGTGTTACATGGGAAGTTAAAAGCACAATTTTTATGCAAACTGACACATCCAATCAGCATCTGTAGATTAAAGGTTATAAAGGCATTTCATAAATCCAACGTTCTGGGCCGGATGAATGAAACAATGAAGTTCAACCCCACCAGGACAGCACAACGAGGGATAAACACCCGGTGACACAAAGTGCTATCATTCTGATAAGAATCACCCAGGTACAACCCCAACAATCCTGTTCAAGCGTTAGGTTATATTAGGGCCCCCGACAACAGCCGGGGCGAGGCTTTAAAATAATGAAAAGTTGCGTCCCATATTTGGACGTCTTGGGATTTCACCAATGGGCTAGATTCAGCTGCAAGCAATTTATCAGCGGACTACTTTGAGTTGATTCTAACAACGGTATGAACGTCGACCATTTCAAGGCACTGGCAAACAACTGAACATAAAATTGCCTAATAGAACCACAAACCGAAAACAAATGCCTGGGTTGGTATGGAACATTTTGTAAAGGACATGCAACATACTTTTAAATATATTTGATGAGAAAACTGCCCAGCTCTTACCTTTCCAAAGCCTAGTGTCTGCTTTGATGAAATGCTCTAACACAGACAAGGTATTAGACACGCCAGTGGTTTCCATTAGGGTGGAACATAGTATTCTTCGAATAGAACCTACAGTTAAAAGAGATTTTCATAATGTGGTCAATATTCACACATTTTAAGCAAAAAAGTGTTGCAATTTCCTGCAGTTAGATATACTTAAGGAAACATAACAAGTAATAAATATTTTTTTTAATGCATATTATTCTCAGAGGGGGTGGGGGTGTGGAATAGAGGCGTGAGAGGGAAGAAAGAAAAATATAGGGATGGAGAAGAAGGAGGGATAAAGAATAAGAACATTATGACACCCAGGCTATATTAATGATATATTAACAATGATTATTTTAATAATCCATGTCATCCTTGATCGTTCAGTTCTTTGGAAACAACTGTTTCTCCTGACTGGATACAAAAGTATATCTCTGAGGACTGTGCTGCGGAGCTCTTCATCTCCTCTGCAAGCCCAGGAACAGCAGTACATGCAAGATCGATTATTGAACTTCATATCTCTGGAAAAAGTTACAAAAGCCTAGTGCTTTTTTTTGAATTAAGAATTGACATCACAGTACTCAGGACATTTCCATAAGTGCTCAGGCCCCATCTTCAGCAGCAAGTAAAGAGTTCCAATTTCGTTGGCACCAGTAACTGTCTGACTGTATATCCATCTCATCCTTCCCCTGAGTGTTGAGCATCGACCAGATCCCCTGGTAACTCCCCGCAGCGCCATTTTTTTCAGACCATAATGATCTATCTGCACCTCCTCACTATTCACTCACTCCCAAAGGTCCCTCACAACATCTAACTTGTCATACATCAAATCACGACCAAGTGGTGCAGAGCCAGACAGCCTATCTGCCTGCTCATTTCCCAACACACCAGCATTACCTGGAGAAAAATATCCAAAGGATGCTAACTACCCGGGCACCTCTGAAGTAATGCTTGCCAATCTGCAGAAAAGCATGCCCGTTTTCACCTTTCTCAACATACTCTGCGAGTTCGTTACAATCAAGGCATATGTATACAACTGATTCTCAAGCTAAAGGAAGGCAGCAGAGACTGGCTCTACCTCCATTCTCAAACTAGACGTTGTGATATCAAATGCCAGGCTTTGCTGCACTAGGCGACGTCCATTCGACTTTGCTATGAAACAACTCTGCTTTAAAGGACATACAACTAAATTTTTTTTGAAATCAACACAAACTAAATGTTGAAGGTGATACTGACTGGCTTTATCGTTGATCATCTGCAGCCAAGTGAGTATCTTCAGGGAAAACTGCTGGTGGGCCACAACATCTTTGATCATCACTTCAACTTTCAGTGGCTTGCTGCCATGACGGGAGGTGTTCCTCTGCAACAAACAAGTGAAATTATCATCATCAAATAATCTCCTCCTCGATTATAACCTTTGTGACTTATGATCACCCACACTGATGACCACAATAAATAAGTAACAAAAAAATTATAAAGAAAGACAGATTACAATGTAGAATCAAAAAGTTCCCAGAACTGAGATAGCACAGTACATTTGTATTTTTCAAATTATAATATTTACAATTATTTGAATCAAAAATATAAATTTCACTAAGTCGGAACGGAACCCAGTCCTAGGTCGGTTAAACCCTGTACTAGAAAAAGTGTGATCATATTTGCAAAATTATACCAAAATTACAAAAGCTATCAAAACATACATCCGAAATAAGCAGGCAGACTATGGCAGGAAGAGAATAAAGAAGATCCACTGTAGGAGACCTTCAATGTAAAGATGATAAGTGAACCCTACCAATAAATAATGGTTGAAATCAACAGAGAAAAGAAAGCTCCAATCCCACACAAAAACCATACCTCAATAGTTTGCTTGACAGCTTCACACTCCTCTAAAGTGCCAATCTTCACACAACTACGACCCTGAAACATCAAAAAAATGAGACAGATTAGATGGTAGCGAATACAAATTGTATTTTTCTGCTCGTATTATATCACTTTTAGGATCACGTAGGACAGGAAAGTAACTTTTAGCCTCCGGATTTAGGGTCAAAATGCTTGTGAAGTTGCTACTAACTTACTTCTGTAGCATGCTCACTCGCTGAGCAAACATGCATTGGTGAATTCCTAAGTTTTCAGCCACTCTAAGGCCTTTGTCACAGCCACGACCTCCATTCTCATGCTGCTGGTTGTAGAAACAAAGGCTCCCCTTTCTTCTTTGATGAAGTTCACTTTGGTTCTCATACAACAGCATCTTCCCGAGATGTGTGTTCCTCCACCAATGCTTTCACTTCCTCATCAACTACTGGTGGCGCCAAATCACAGCATTGTCTTGTCAGAGTGATAACTATCACAAAGCACTGCTTGTATTCATCCGGTTGGGATATCTATTCCTCTCCATGGTTTATGGCTTGAAAGGGAAATCACCCACTGAGTTACTGTCTCTGTCCGGCACAACCAAGACTGGTCTCGTTTAAGTCTGTTGCCTTTAAGTGTAATCAGTTCATCGTGCAGTGGGTTTGTTATAACAAACAGTTCTCTAGAACTGAATTTCAGGTAGGTATATGCTTGGCACATTTAAAGCCTGCTGTTTATATCTGGAAATCTAGTAGGAATCTCACTGATCTACATGATTTGTCTTTGGTGCAGCCAAGTATTATGCGCACTGCTTCATTCTGCACCTTTTCCAGGCTCCGAGGGTGAGGATTGCTAGTGCATATTCTATGACAGAGAGGATCACACCCTGACTGAGAATGATTGGTCATTCAACACAGCACCAATGTGTGTATTTAAAAATAATAAGATAAAATCTCAAGTGCCATCTTTGTCCCACATGCCTCAGCCTTTCCAAGCAGAGAGGCTGCGTTCTGGAAGAGCACTGCATACAAAAATAAGTTCTCTACCTATGTCCTGCACCATTCCCTGGGAGGTCCAAATACATTTGTGAACATGAGGTAAACAGTGTAACCATTTTGCCATGGGACACCTCCACCCCCCCCCCCCCCAATTTTATAAGAAAGCATGTCTCGAACTACATCGGCCATGCACTCAGAATGGATAAGACAAGACTTCCTGCCTAGAACCATCATCAGGGATGGCTCAACCATGGGCCTAATAAACACCCAAGAACTAAAAAAGGTGGCACAGAACTGCCAGTCGTGGAGAGCAATGACCTCTGACCTTTGCGCCGCTGAGGAGGGAAGACTACCTACACTCATATCTGATTCTGTCTAAGCCACTAGCGGGTTCGTTAAATATTTCTCCCTTTTTCCCCAACCCCAGGTGTAAAAGGTTGCAGAACACTGTACAACAGTGCACACTGGCTGAACCTGTACCCACCTCTCTGTCTACAACAGTGGCAAACTCCAACGCCTGTCTCTGGTTACAGTCCACAGCACGTTGCAAAGTGCTGATAACCTGCACACAGAAAAGTGTTAAAATGCATGACCAATGTGTTAAAATGCATAACCAATGTGTAGCTCTCTCATTCTCAATAAAATAACGCTGGTAGCAGATATCTCAGACACAGAAAGAACATCATCACATCGGCTTGTTGTGCCATTTATAGTCATGTAGGACTGACAGTCTACTGTTCCATTCTGTACCTACCTGATAGTTTAAACATGTCAAACCCCAATGATAAACTTTTTTAGATACATACAGAACATTATCATTATCCTGTTGTGCCATTTATATGTCATACAGGACTCCCAGTCTATTTCCCCATTCCACTGTATCCTTATGTGCTATAGTTTCCAAACACCGGTGTTTATTTCTGGCTAAATCTTGTCTTTGATTTCCACAGAGAAGTTTTTAATCAGTCATCATACATCCACTTTATGCACCAAACATCGCTTAGCTAGGTGATTTATCAGAATGGTTTCCTTGTTCTCTCCCCCCCCCTTTTCCAACAAACCTACTACAGAAACTTAAAAAAAAAAATCTGCTAAAGATTTGTGATGGCATCTACTGCATTTTGTTTTGTGCTGACCGACAAATAATTGCCTTTGGGACTAACATATGTTGTCTCAAAGTCCTGTTTTTAAACCCATCCAGGAAGCTTAATGCTCAAGGGCACTGTGTCAGTCTCAGCCATTACACAATGTAGGTCTTGTATTTATGGTAATTAGCCAGCCTTGCAATCACTAAGCCTTTGGCAATGTCATTTCTGAGCTTAAATATTGGCAACTGGTCAAAAATAATATGATGCTTAAATCTATCACACAAATTTTCCATATGATTATTGAAAAAAAAAAAAAAAAACTCTTGCAGCAAATTGTCAAATTTTAACCTATAGATATGTTAACTGTTTTCCTACTGTTTAGTTTTTCCATTTAGTCTTATCCTGGTATTTGAGTTATAACTATTTTGCAGCATCCCAAATAATTATTAATTAAGTAAAGTAAAAGTTCTTCTGCCTTTCAGTGTCAGGTTTTAAAGAGGCATCAAATGCAAGGCTTAGTATAAACTACACAGGTGCTGGTATTTATGGTCTTGGTTATTTCCTCTATCCATCACTTGTGTGGTCTACCTCAAACGCTGCTTCAATTATGTCTTCTGCTTCTTTGCATTCATCGGCTGTAAATTCCAGGCGGAAAATGCTGGATGTTCATCCACTTCTAGACTTTAGTATTGTTCTTAGAACCTCAGTTTTACGTGCACATCTGTTTGGCAGATCTGGTTTACTTGCATGAGAGTTTTGGTACCTCACCTCTCAGGCAGACGCATTCTGACTCTGAAGGGAACACCAAGTAGTTGCCTCCCACCACATACTAGTTGGGGGGGGGGGGGGGTGTTTCCACTTAGAATCGGGCCCTGGAATCCACACAGGGACCACTGTGTTTAAGTAACAGACACTCTCTGGGGCACTGTTTGGTGGTAGACTTGACACACGTTCCGAACCATTAGATCTGTTCTCTCTCAATTATTTTTTCATTAATCAAAACTAATTAACAGAAAGCATACTGTCAGATTAAGACTGCTATTGTTAATCTGAGGCAAGAAAGAGTCAGCTCGTAATCATGTAACAGGAATAACAAACCTGGTCATAAGTATGTACTTCATCGTTGTACAGCATACACATATATGTGGTGCTAGCTGCAGCATCACCACCACGACCCAGACCCAAAGGCAAAATCAAGTTAAAATTCCAGGTGAGAAGGGTTGAAGCATACTTGAGGACACATCTGAATGTCCGAGCAATAAATTCTTGCATCTGAGTTGGCATGTCCACACTTTCAGTCTGCAAGCAAGAAAACCGTAATTTAATTTTTATGCAATGTAACACAAGCAAGAGATCTTACATGCAGGCGTTTCCAACCAACCTCACTCAACTTCAGGTGCTCAGTTTTTCCCCATGCATCCTCATCATCCTGTTGTGCAGGTAGATGTCACATAGAAATTAGGGCTATCCTCCGAATAACGGTCCCAAATTATCGAGGCCGAAAATATTCCCTAACAGGGCCTCAGTCACGTGTCAATTGTGGACTTTCGGCGACTTACATTGCGCACTTCCAGCGACATCCGCTACCACCGAGAGTATCCCCCACTTCGTTCAAGCGGCGTGGATTGGGGCTAAACTAAATGGCTGGGACTCACAAGCAGCAGCTACTCACGCGGCGTGTGGGATACTCCCGTTGGTGGCGGAAGTCGCCTGAAGTCCGCTATTCGGGGGTGGCGGTATAGTCCCCGGAAGTGTGCAGTTGACACGTGACTGAGGCCCTGTTAGGGTATATTTTTGGCCTTTATAAATTGGGACCGTTATTCGGAGGATAGCCGGAATTAGTTTAGACCTCATTCTTAGACATCCAAAGATCTCCCTTCCAGCAAAACAACAAATGATCAATAGCATCCCTATCCCTACTTTATGTTATCAGTGCCAGAACAGAACATTGCATGTGAAATGTGCCGTCTCCGCAAGAGCATTAACAAAACAAAAAGAGACAGGGCTACAAATACCAGCAATAGAGTGAAAGCTGGAATAAGACCATGTCTGGATTATACTGGCAGACAAATAATGAAGTGGTTCAGCCATCTAGAGAGAACGCAGCCAGACTAAACTGCACATGAGACATTTTACAGCAGAACATCTGAAAGCAAGGCGAAAGGAAGACCAAGAAAGAGATGGATAAATGGTGCAGCTGAAACCTGCAAAAAGATGAACTAATTCATCACCCAAGCCACCCAAGAAGCAAACAAATAAATACAGAAAACCACGACACTGAGCTACAACCTGGTATCAGTGAGATGACAAAACCACGACACTGAGCTACAACCTGGTCTCAGTGAGATGAAAAAACCACGACACTGAGCTACAACCTGGTATCAGTGAGATGACAAAATCACGACACTGAGCTACAACCTGGTCTCAGTGAGATGACAAAACCACGACACTGAGCTACAACCTGGTCTCAGTGAGATGAAAAAACCACGACACTGAGCTACAACCTGGTATCAGTGAGATGACAAAACCACAAAACTGAGCTACAACCTGGTATCAGTGAGATGACAAAAACGACACTGAGCTACAACCTGGTCTCAGTGAGATGACAAAACCACGACACTGAGCTACAACCTGGTCTCAGTGAGATGAAAAAACCACGACACTGAGCTACAACCTGGTCTCAGTGAGATGACAAAATCACGACACTGAGCTACAACCTGGTCTCAGTGAGATGACAAAATCACGACACTGAGCTACAACCTGGTCTCAGTGAGATGACAAAACCACGACACTGAGCTACAACCTGGTCTCAGTGAGATGACAAAATCACGACACTGAGCTACAACCTGGTCTCAGTGAGATGACAAAACCACAAAACTGAGCTACAACCTGGTATCAGTGAGATGACAAAACGACACTGAGCTACAACCTGGTCTCAGTGAGATGACAAAACCACGACACTGAGCTACAACCTGGTCTCAGTGAGATGACAAAACCACAAAACTGAGCTACAACCTGGTCTCAGTGAGATGACAAAACCACGACACTGAGCTACAACCTGGTCTCAGTGAGATGACAAAACAAGAAGAAGACCTCCATTCTGTTCTAACCTGTGAAATCCTTTCCATATCCAGTGAAGCACCTTTAGCATCTCTCAACAACATGCGTCTTAGGGTAACTTACTCAATCCATTTGTTTCACGGAAAATCTTAAGCCAACCTTTCTTATTTGTCAATTACAAATTCATGGTAGGTTACCAAACTACAGTATGGAGACATAACCAGATCTGGATTTTATAAGTTTGTATCTTCTTCTTTTTTGTTCACTGACTGTAAGCTCTGGCAGAAAGTCATGGTTTTTAGTCCATCTGGACGTTGGCCTGGGTGTTGCATATACATCCATTTTACTGGCTTATTTGTGTGCAGTTGGTTGTTCCTTCCCGTCCCGCGCAGGCAGATGTACGTCGACTTCAAAGGCAGCCCCCAATTAGTCGACTTCTACGACATGCTGGTAGAGGAGGCAGTGGGTTTATTCTTGTTTTCTCCAAAATAGGACTCACACAGGGAGAAGTCTGTATAGAAATGGCTTTACTATAATTCTGACATAAGTAATTTTAATGACAGAAAACTGCATGTCTGAACTAATACAATTTTTATAAAGCTAATTTTGGACAGCTGTATAAAACCAGTATTGATGTACAGAAGTGAATCATGGATGGTGAGCAGTTTAGTGAGAAATCAAGTGCAGGCTGCAGAGATGTGGTTTTCTAGAAAAAAAGATGGGATGACCATGGATAGAAAAAAAAGATGTCTCGAAAGAAAAAAATTAACTCACAACGAGAACATATTACATGCATCAGAAGATAATCCACAACTGTTAGAGGGGTCAGGGGCAGAAGAAAAGCCTAGAATATTGAGGGAGACAAGATGCATATGCAGACCAAAAGAGAATCACAGTCTGGCATCATGGCATGGAGAAACATCTCTTTCAGAAACGAATGACAGTATATAAAACAGAAGGAAGTAGACAGACAAGATTACAAATGCCACATGTCATAGCCTCTTCTGCTTCTACATACCCAGGGTAATAGGCATGTTATGTTGTGCTGTGGTTTATATCAAAGCTTTTGGCCCTACACATCCGATTACAGCAAACCCTTAATTAGTCGCCCTTTACAACATGATTGCTATCGGGTATTATATACTATAAACAAACAGACAATATATTGATCGGCACTCATAGAAAGAAGAAAGATAGAAGGACACTAGATAACATAAAAATCAAAAGCTATAGTTACTGTGCTGGGAACTGACCCTGTCACCTCCAAATGACGTAAGTGCATCGTATCGGAAACAAGTGTACTAAGAACATGACCAACTATGCACCCCTAATAAAAAGATGTGTCTGCATTGGCCAAATCCACAACTATGGAATACAGACAGAATTCATCTAAAGCCATTGAAATGGCACCATAGGTTACATAAATTTATATTAACCAGGCATAGGTCGAATGACCCACACAACAATTATAGACAAAGCGGATCGTACTGCTGTGTCTAGAATACAACAAAGATTTAAGAAAGATCTGACTGGTCAGTTTCACTATGTTATATGTAATTCACATAAGCAGAGGGGGAACCCTAAAAATCTATAGCTTTTTCCACCAAAACAGGACCCCAGAACCAACACTGACAGCATGGACTATGATAAGCAGAACACAAATAAAAACTGACCTCCCCTTCTTTCCTGGGCTTGTGCAGTAAACAGAATGGGTCTGCAGTCCAGGCCTCAGTGTCTCCACAGTCGCAATACCCTCCCCCACTTGATGTGCTCATCTGTTAACACAGACAGTTCTAAACTGTTCAAATGCTTCAAACACAAAATGAACATAACACTGTTGAGTTAAGCTGAGTTATTACCTGACATTACAGCACTCCAGACATTCTCATAAGCATACTGTTCCCATCTTCAGCAGTTAACGAAGAGTTCCAATTCTGACGGTAATGCCAGAAGTTTGATTATATGTCTTTCCTGAATTTTCCCTGTGAGTTGAGAGTTGACCAGATCCCTCGGTCACTCAACACTGCACCATTCTCAGCAACACCTTATTTCCCTGTGTGTTGAGAGTTGACCAGATCCCCCGGTCACTCAACACTGCACCATTCTCAGCAACACCTTATTTCCCTGTGTGTTGAGAGTTGACCAGATCCCTCGGTCACTCAACACTGCACCATTCTCAGCAACACCTTATTTCCCAGCATGTTGAGAGTTGACCAGATCAATTGCTCACTCAACACTGTACCATTCTCAGCAACACATTATTTCCCTGTGTGTTGAGAGTTGACCAGATCACTCGGTCACTCAACACTGCACCATTCTCAGCAACACCTTATTTCCCAGCATGTTGAGAGTTGACCAGATCACTCGGTCACTCAACACTGTACCATTCTCAGCAACACCATATATGTATAGGAAGCTCAATGGTGGGAATGCAAAGACACATATAGATGCAAACAGAACATTTTAACAAAAAGTTTATCAGTTTTTTCAATATTTTGTTTTCCAGTTCTGTAGGATAAACATCTTAAGGATGCACATACAAATAAAACAGGTACAAATCCCAGAACCCCATACAGCACAGTTATACTGGGGCACCACAAAATGGCTACAAAGTAACACCACCGGTAGTCCAGTGATGGCGAGTCTGTAGTAGCTGTTATCAGTAAATGAACAAATTCTTCACAGTGAATGATTCTTCTTCAAAATTACCAGGTATGCGGAACACTCCAAACTAGGTAACCTGTGTAAGGATACTATCCTTCTGCAGAATTCCCGGCAATGACAGAGCTGGTTACCTAGCTAAAGAAGGTGCAACTGAAGTGCAACCTGACATACCAATATTTTATTAGCAGAAGAAAAGAATAAGCAAATCAATCAGAAAGTCATCAAAACAGGCAGAAAATTATTACCATATTATGGCTAGACCAGAGCAAGTTATTATTCTACCCCTCAGAACAGGGCACAATCAACTTCACATATGTCTACAAAATATAAGATTGGCACATCAGCCATGTGTGCATTGGCGTCCGTGGCTAAGGCGTTGCGAGTCCGACCCGTGAGCCAGCATACCGCGATCGAAACCCACTGCAGGCTGCGTGGATTTTTGTCGTGGTATGGGACGTCGCAGGTCGACCCAGCCTAAGATGGGTACCAGGATGGGCTGTCCTGGGAAAGTAAAGACAGCCGGCGTAATGCTGACCACATTACTCACAGAGTGCTGATGGTCTGTAAAAATATGGGACGCTCTGCCCATATGCCCGATGCGCCGAAAGGCGTGAAAAGGGAACTTTACTTTTTTAGACTGTCAACTGGAACAACAGATCACGTCCTCCAAGAATGTCCCAAATATAACGCATCAAGGCAAAACTTCTGGCCAAGAGAAACATCAATGAAAGCCAAGAAATTAAATGAGCCGCTAGTGGGTGAGTTAAAAAAGACATACCAATTCACAAGAGACATCACTGCAGATAATCTATTTCAAGCAAGAAGATAATTCTTGTTATCTAATTTGCTGATAAAGACTTGATTAAAACATAGTTATGTGTGACTTTCCTTTTCCCACTCTCCATTTTATTGGAGATATTTTGTCCTGTTTATTGTTTTTGGTATCAGCTCAGCTGTAAATGGAAGCCACTATGCGCAGTGACTAGATGCTCACCTTTTGGCCTGAAAGTGTAGGGTTCAAACTTGCAATTTGGAGGCAAATTGTGTTTCAAAACTGACCTTAGCTCCCAGGTTGGCCCAGCCTAAAATGGATACCAGGTAATGTCCTGGAAAGTGAAGGTCATTAGCAAGCTGATGACCACATCATCCATTAAGTGCCAATCAAGAATATCAGTCTAGTATTACCTGCCCGATGCTGATCATTCATCGAGAGTATCACACAAAGCACAAATACTGTAGCTCCAACAACAGCAACCCCTAAAGATTTGCACTTGAAGGCAATTTCATGACAGGTAAGAAAATGAATAACTACCATTTATGTAGAATCATTAGTTTAAACCTTATGATTGAATCCAGGACCATTATTTGTAAACAAGCCAAACAATTTCTTGAGGCCTCAGAGATGTTTTAAAGAAAAATGCTTAAAATTTGTTTTGACTGCCAGAATGAATAATTCATGTCTTGAAACAAAGATCAAACGCCTGAAGTCAACTTATCACAAATATTGGAAAGAGACAGTCATCATTGTATTGGCCATAATAGAAGAAGAAAGAAACTGGAACATGCTGTGACGACTGGAAACATGTGTGGAAAGAAAAAGATAAAGGAAGACTGTGTGAGAAGATTCTTGACAGCCTTTTGTCATGGGTCAGCATATAAACTAATATAAACTGTTGGGGATCCCAATATCTGCAGTCATGATCTCACTCGCCAGTCTGCAAAGCACTTGATGATGATGATGAGACAAAACTGTGCATGCCCATATTCTTAATATTAGAGCCACATAAAAGAACAAGCAAGTTAAAACAAATTTACATCTTACCCGATATCGATGGTGTCGATGGGAGCTGTTTTGAAAGCAGGTTATACAAAGAACACATGTGGGGTCGTAAGCACAGTCCCTGCAAAATATTAAGAGAACTAAATAGCTAAATAATGACAACAGAAGAACAACAGCAAAATCTATAACAAACTGTAAATGTAAACCTGAGAAACAGTTAAAAACTTACTGTGGTTCCTACATGTTGATTGTGTCTGTTTCCACTACAACAGAGCAGTCTTTTCTAGCAATACACAGTGGTACGCAATATAGTCTGTTTTAGGCATTACTGTTTCTGTATTACTATAATGTGTTGAGTATAACAGCACTGTAAAGAGGGAGGGAGGCAGACAACAGATCCAATGCCTACCAAAGAAGCATTTCATAAGAATCGACTAATTCACTTTCGAGGTCAGAGTTCATCTACCTGAGAGGTGAAAAACCAACAGTCTACACACAAATAGGCCAGATCAGTAAAATGGAAAGCGAATACGAAACTCAAGCTCTGGAACAAGATTAAAAGTCCAGAAGTGGATGAACAACCAGAACTTTCCGTCGGAGTTTACAGCTGGTGAACACGAAGAAGAATGTCTTCATAAGTGTGTTAGTTGTTGTTTGTTTGCGTTCACCGGCTGTAAACCCCGGCAGAAACGCCCATCATCCATTTCTGGACTTTCGGTTTTGTTCCAGAACCTGAGTTTTTCGTGTTTGCCTCCATGTTACAGATCTTGTTTATTTGTGTGCACACTGTTGGTTCCTTGCCTCTCAGGCAGATGCACTGACTTTAAAGGCAGCTCTCAATTAGTCGACTCTCACAACATGCTTGTTGGGGAGGCTGTGGGTCTATTCTTGTTTTCCCTACAATGGGACCCCTGAACCCACACAGGGATTTTCATAAGTAAATACACCAATCACAGTGCTTTTGAGGCACCCACTAATGACTGGGCTTGTTGTCAGTGGCTCTTTTCTGTCTGTTTTGTTATAAAGAACCCTAAGGAGGCATGGAAATCACTGGCAAGATCTGCTGACATTAAGACGTCCACAATTTGGTCACCTGCAGGAGTAAGTCGGCTCTCCGTGTTTAAAGTTGTGCCCACAGAGTTGAGAAGGCTCATCTGCATGACTTAGCTGTTGAAAGCGTGTTGCTGGGTCTCCTTGGCACATGAACTCTTCTAAAGGATGAAAGAGAAACTTCCTAGCCCGACGTTCTTCCTTCTCACTGTCCAGGTTTGCTCCATAAACCACAGCAACGAAATCAGTGAAGTGGGCATACACTGCTTTCTCGAAGGCATCTTGATCAGACTGGTAGGCATCTTGCCACCGCTGTTAAACAAAAGAGAAAATAAATCAAATCAAAATCATTTTTTGTTCCGTATGAGTTAACCTTTTTTCAACCTGCATTAACAGTTGACCCTGTTCAACCTATAAATAGGGTGTTTGAAGTTGTTTCTTCCTTTTTCATCTGTATGAAGGTTGCGGCTGATTTGGCTCTTCTTCACACAGATGTTTTCTTTAAAAATCGCTATCAGTGTCTGGCGTGGCTCTCTATCATGGCATTGCACTCTTTTATGATTCTTTTGAGGATTTTTGTGTCTCTTTTTATTGAGATGTACAGTTCTTTCAGTTCAGCTTCTTGTCTACATCGTCGCTGGAGGTGGCTTTTTCCACTGCTTTCCCCATCTCTGTAGCATGCGACCTGTGCTGCTTCTTTGGTTTCTGCACACAGGTGCTCGTCTCTGCTTTTTTCACACCTTTCTGTGTTCAGCGACTGGTGGTGCTGCTCCCTTGGCTCAGTTTCTTCGCTTTTATCTGCTGCGCTTGCCTTCTGGGTGGGTTGTGCATTGCTTAGCTGTTTGTTCAGTTCACTGATCTCTGTAAAAGTTTGCATCGGGCCAAAGGGTAAGAATTAAATGCTATTTTGGATTTGGAAATATGAATATGAATTCTCATATGAATTTCCAGTTCTATTTTTGTTCAGAGGCGTGTCTTCATAATATATTGATAGGTGAAGTTAATTTATTTGTTGTCATTTACGTTCAATTGAGCTGAGTTAAGAAAGACATCACAGCACTCAGGACATTACTATTTGCACTCCGTCCCCATCTTCAGCAGCCAGCGCAGAGTTCCTATACTATGGTACCGGACGCAGTCTGATTATATGTCCATATTGCCATTCCTCTGAGTATGGTGTGCTGGCCAGGTTTTCTAGTCATACCCAGGTGTATCATTCTCTCCAAACCATGATAATCTATATTCTCTTCTGACTTTGTTTCTTGTTCCCAAAGAGCCTTTACCACATCTGCCTTGTCGTGTATCACTTCACCATCCAGTGATGCAGATTCAGCCAATCTGTCTGCCTTGTTAACTGTAAACATGTCCCCAATATGCAACAGTTAGTATTCCCCTTTTGTCACCATTAGACCCTAGGATGTATCTTAACTGCAAAGCAAACTGTATTATGATTGACACATTAGGATATGGAGGTGTATTTGTTGCAACTGTAGATGCACCTAATGGGTTGATGATATTCAACCACTCATTAAAAAAAAAATGGTTTTAATCATTCCGAATCTGACGATCCCAAAAAGGTTGATAACTGTTACTGGCTGAACAAATTGCAATCCATCTCGGTGCCAGTACTCGTCTTCCTCTCGGAGCACATGTTCAACACACTTTTTCCAGAAATGAATGTCTACTGTTGAGACAGACTCACATGTCAGAACTTCAACATTTTTAATTTACTGTTCTTTCTGGGATTCTTGTCGTTTTACTTTAGCCCAAACAAGCTCTATCGGGTTGAGGTATGAATTATTTGCAGGGAGTCGCAGGGAAGTGTGACTGTATTCATTATTGATTTTGTCAGTGTGATACACCTTAGTCTTATTTGTTTTCCTTACAAGCAGCAATAACTCTGCCTTCAAATATGTGTCGTCAAAGTTGACTCTTCTTATAAAGGCATGCCCTAATTTGATCTTTTGTATTTGAAGTCGTCGGTACTTTGTTTTCCTCTGATATGGCATTATGATAGGCGGCATTATCTAGGCATGATGTTCTGTCCAGAATTGGAAGAATATAATTCTCCATCCAGTGCCTGAAAATTTGCCCATTCATTTCAGTGTGGTAGTCCCTAACATCCGTACTTTTTTATTTGAAAATGTCCAGCATCATGGATAAGGCCTTTTTCACTGCTTCCTGCAAAAGTGAGTATAATGTGCTGGCCTTTGGTGTTTGTAGTGTTTCTTTTCTGTTCACCATTTATTGATTGCCATTCTTTAGCTAAGGTATGGTGAGCATTAACCCAGGATTCATCCAAATATCCAATATCATAGCCTTGCCTCCGTCGCTCACGGATCTGCCTCAGGTATTTGCTTTGACTAGCAATCAAGCGTGGCTTTTCACAAATTATATTCTATTTACAGTTTTCATGAAAGTGAACCCGGTGGCTATTACAATTTTCCACAGACTACTTTTTAAAATGTCAACGTTGCATCGTGATTTCAATGTTAATTTCAGTTTTCGGAGAGTAACAAGTCAATTTGTCTCTAACATTTTTAAGATCTAATGACATCTACATCAAAATCGTCAACTTTCCTTTTCCCTCCTTGCTTGACACAAGCATATTTTGTATCCTGTCTAATCCAACAGTTAAACAATGCTCAACCCAGACCAAGCATCAACCATGTTCGTTTCTCTGGGTCATAAATATCACAATATAAATGACCCATCTTAGATTCCCTGAGGAAGTGCTAGTACGGTAAAACGGTAACCTTCTGTATAGTTATAAATTTGCATCTCAAATTCATTTTGAAGTTGATGTCTATGTCAGCTTTTATAAGCTAGATATAAGACACAATAACTCAACACTAATTTGTGGATGCGCCTTTGGTTTCCGGTCACTAAAAGTGCAACTTTGCATAAGAAAATCACGAAAGTGTGTAGGTTTTCTTTGAGCCCCCGTTAAACCAGTTATAGTTTGCATTACTTCCTTAAACTAATGAAAGTAAACCACCTTCCAAAAGTCTACCAAGACGGTTTCATGATAAAAATATATATTGTAAAGAAGAAAAAACTACACATGATATTTTTCTTCAGTGAAAAAAATATTTCCTCAACGTCATGGATATTCTATAGCTGCATGAAAAAGTCATTGCGATATAACAGGCAGTTTTAAAAAAAAATGACTTGCAATGTTGAAAAGCCTGGCTCGCTAGCTCAGTCAATTAAACCTGACTACGCAGTGACCGGTGACGAACACCTTGTGGTCCGGGTTCACGCCTGGGGGTAGGCAGAAAAGCCAAATTTCTCCCAGATTTACGGTATCTATCACTGAATCAAGGCAGAAGTGTTGAGATATCCATAGTACTGAGCCAAAGGGTTAACAACTTATGGTTTCTGGATAGTTGGGAGAAAAAAAAATGTATTGTTGAACGAACTATAGAAGTGCAGTTCATAGTCAGTATCAGGGTTCATAGCCAAATTTACCAATCAATTTCAAGGCGTTTCAAGGTCTTAGTTTTTTTCAAGGTTGTCTCATTGTAATATATCAGCAGCAGTTACAACAAATAAGTAGTTGCATATGCAACTAATTGCATAAGGGCATTATCAGTTCTGTAGGACTTTTATGAATCTGAAGTTCATAACACAGAACATGTTGGGCAGTCAGAAAGAATTCAAATTAAATCAGCAGCTGAGTGTTGCACCATACACTCAACTCACTAGCTGGGTGATGGAATTACGTCCTTTCCTTGCAAAACAGGGAAACAGACACCCAGAAATCATGATCCCTCGAAACTGAGCATCATGTCCAAAATACTGACAACTACTAAAGACATATTAATCTGGTTGTTGCAAGTATTTTTGGCTGCTACTTGAGACCCTCGGTAACCGTTACACCTTACACTCAACTACCTCTGCTCCATGTCAAAAAAGCGCTGCCCGGGCAAAATTTTGAGTTAAAAATCTACTAAAAGTATTTCAGGATCCTCGCCGGTGCTAGGGAGTTAGTGCACTGCTTTGAGATTCTTCAGACTCAGGCTTGAGTTAGAAGAAGAACGTAGCACTTATGGGTTACTACCCTTGTGCCACGATGTTGATCCATTGTTTAAACCCAAACCATGTCAAAACAAACTTTCACGATTTTGTGCCTATCTTTGAATAAATGAAGCTGAAGGAAAAATAAATTTGTAAAATCCTTACAACCCCATTTATTTAAAATAAAAAAAAGAGTATTTATTATGAAAATTTACATTCATTTGCAGAAGGTTTACTTCTTCTCATGGAAGCATAATGTTCCCAAAGTGGAGTTCCAGATGAGAAATAAATATTTACCTGTAGTAAAGCCTTCTGATTGAACTCCGGCACATCCATACTGCATATGAAATTAATAATCTAAACTTCTGTAGCACAGTCTTGGAGGAAACATGAGTTGTGTTTTAGTCCAGAATTGTAAGGTCACCAAATGCTTGATGCTAGTGAGTCTGTTGAAGTAACCTTTGTACCAGTCTGAAGTTATGTTGCCATCACCTGCGGAAATGTATTAAAATTTTTTTTTACAAATGTGTCCTTGCTGCCAGTTTTTACCATATTTTAATGATGGTGCAAGGAGGTCTTAAGTCTGAGGATACAGGGCTGCAATCAGGGCCGCTTTAACAGCATTATGGACCCCTAGACAAACCAGTGCACTGGAGCCACTACGACAACCACTCAGAGGAATGAAATGTAAATGGTCGATAATATCAAACATATACAAAGATCAGCAAGCAGCCCCTTTGTCGGTGTGGCCCAAGGGCAAGTGCATAGCGAGCCCATGCACTGAGACGGTACTGGCTGCATAGCAAGCGGGAATACATTCTTCTTCTTCTTCTTAGCATTCACCAGCTGAATATTCCTGTGGAAAGTTCTGGTTGTTTGTCCACTCCTGGACTATGGTCTTCATCCAGGTGCCGTACATACATCCATTTTACAGATCTGTCTTATTTGTATGCAGTGTTGGTTCCTTGCCTCTTAGGCATATACACTGCAACTTTAAAGGAAACACCCTTAAGTAGTTGCCTCCTTCTTAAAGTCCACGCCGTGTGGCGTTGGTAGTCATGTATATTCACAACCTCCAGTCTCGTGTACTTTCAATCAACTTTGACACAGATGATCCTCCAGGCCATGTGGCATTGGTAGTCATGTATATCTATAACCTCCAGTCTCGTGTACTTTTACTCAACTCTGACACAGATGATCCTCCAGGCCATGTGGCATTGGTAGTCATGTATATCTATAACCTCCAGTCTCGTGTACTTTTACTCAACTCTGACACAGATGATCCTCCAGGCCATGTGGTGTTGGTAGTCATGTATATCCACAACCTTCTGTCTCATGTACTTTCAATAAACTCCGACATAAATGATCCTCTATGTCAAACTGTCTAGCATCTTTTCTTTCGGTCTGCCTCTCCTCCCCTCCAACTTTTCTACTGTCACAATGTACTCCAATTTTCTCCAGCTGCTTCCTATGACATGCTTTATGGGGTGTCATGCAGTGGAGTTATTCTATTTCTCCCAAATGTAGTCTATGAACCCACATGCAGAGAATAAGTCAATACAGGGGCATCTCTCTTTTAAGTGAGCAGAATGTGTGCCAAGATAATAGAAACGAGGCTGAGACCAGTTAAAAACCACAGCTGGCAGAAGAACAGAAGGGTTTTAGAAGAAACAGAAGCTATACAGATGCAATCTTCACATTTAAATAGTTGATAGAAAAGAATATGTGACTATTGTAAGACCTTATTTGTGGCATTCTAGACCAGGAGAAGGCATTGGGGAAAGTATTGGCTCAAAATGGAATTAGCGAACACCTCACTAGAGAGTGCAAAATTTTAAATAAGGATTGCAGAAAGAAAATTAATTAGACTAAATCAGCTAATGTCTAAACCATTCACAACAACATTTGGAGCTAGACATCACTGCTGTTTATCACCTATGTATACAGTATCAGCAGGAATGAAAACATTAGCAACATCAATGAAGTACTACTTGCTGAAATCCTTATTAAGCCTGTCGCTTGGTTACACTTAAAATAGAGGGTAATGTAAGTATCATTTATTTCAGTCAGTCATACGTGATAGTATTATTAGTAACTATAACTGTTCCTTAGTTGCTCTGTTGGGCCCCTACTTTGGTTAATTTGTATAATTGTTACAAACTTTTCTTTAAATAATAATGCATTATTAATTAATTAATTATTAGTTAGTGTAATTGTTGCTTTATTAAAAAAAAAATTGACAACCGACATTTATTCTGAATATGCTGCAATGACAATGGTATCATTCAAATATCTTTGCGATACTTTAAACAAACTAAATTAAATTCTGTTTTTCCAACCTGCTGACGTCAATCATTTACTTCGTCTCAAATTTGCAGAGGCAAAAGATGGGCACAAACTGCGCTCATGCTAAATTTTATATGACTTGCATATCATATACACTGTTAAAGGACTGATAAAAACAATGTCACAAGAGAGGCGTATAAATGTTTATAAAGAATATTACACTCAAAACTATAAGTCGAAGTATTTGCCAGTTTCAGAGGTCAGGAATGTAACAAAAACACTGACATTTACATCCCCAGTCAACATTATATTTTTAATACAGTAGTAAAGACATTGCAGTCGTCCACCGGAAGCAGATGTTTTGTAAAAAACTCACATGGAAATCTAGGAACAAAGTTTGCGAACAACACGAGCTTTACGAATGTATGTTCGCAATTGCTGTGTGAATTATGCGTTGTATCCCGGCTTTCTGTCATAAAATATATGGGTTTATTGCGATCGAAATTTATTGGGTCGAAATTTAGGTGACAATAAAACGTAAATTAAGTTTTAGCAAATGTAGATGTACGGCGTACATTCAGAAGAAAAGCATTGATGGACGCAAGAATAATTTATGATCAGCAGGAGGAACCGCAAACAAGTTCTCCTATGCGATGCCTAAGAATAATACTTGGCATTAAATGGCAAGACAAGATCACAAACACTGAGGTATTGGAAAGAGCAGGTAGTGCAACAGTTTTCTTAATGCTCAGTCTGCGAAGGCTCAGGTGGTTGGGTCACACCTGGAGAATGAAGGGTGTCCAAAAGGATATCCTCTGCGGTGAATTAAAGATGGGTAGGAGATGTCGAGTGCAATTGGGAACAGTCATTGAGGTGGACTCCAGGGAACAAAATGTGTTGCGTGGACAGGGGGGAGGGTTGGCCATCAGGAAGGGAATGATAAAGAATTAATGACTGCAGAAAGGATAAGAGGTGAGGATCTGAGAAGATACACTTTAAACACAAATGTTAGCAACAACGATCCTGAAATCCCAAACTGTAATTGTGGAAGACTTTTCGTAAAGCGAGCGGTTCTTGCTAGTCATACTCGCCATAGCCATGGGCTGTGAGTTCCGCGTCTCCTCATATAACACTGTCGCTTGAAAAGATAGAAAATTTCCAACCACCCCCCCCCCCCCACCCACCCTAAAAAATAATATATCAACATTCTTATATAATAAACGCAAAACAACCAAACAAAGCCCTAAATAATTGTTGAAAACATTAGCCAAATTCATACTTTTAATTTGGAAATAAGAAATAGTATATGATAGCAAATAATATACCCCAAACAAAATATTACATCCCTTCTAACATATGTTGACACAAATCTTCACATAAGACTAAAATATAATGCGCATTTTATTATACTCTTCTTCTCCTAAGATCTAGAAATGCTGAAAATAACACAAAATGTGCTAAAGAGCTCAAAGGAAGGAATACAAAAAGACGCAGACGAACGTTTCGACCAAAGTCTTTATCAACGGAACACTAAATACAGCACAAATTATGACTGGAAAAACTCAACGGACAAGACAAAGCCTTTTTTCTTTCATATAGTCTGTACTGTGTGTCTTTGGTAATCATATCCGTCCACAATCTTCTAACTCGTGTACCTTCAATCATGTTGATGCAGACGTGCATTCGTGTTGTGCTCTGGGACCAACTCCATTGGTGGGAACATGACAAAAGAAAAGAGGCCTTGTCCCTAGTTGACCATTGCGTCGGATAAAAACACGAAAATTATTTGTGTCCCAACCTAAACAGGGATGAATCAAATCTAGAAATGCAAAAGTTACTGCAGGAAACAAAACTCTGACTCAACTAGAGCATTATTTTGCCAGTTTTTCTTTATGGAGAATGACCAGAAAGGATCCGCACAAGCTATCCACCTTCCACCATACATGTCTACAAAGAGTTATCAAAATATTCGGGCCAGATAAAATCTAAAAACACTAAACTACTTCAAGTCACAAACGAAGAAACTCTAGACAGTATGATAAACAAGAGACGATGGAAATGGCTAGACAACGTTATGAGGATAAATTCTTATTACCCTGCCAAAACAGCTCTCACTTGGACACCAGAGGAGAAGAGAAAGCAGGGGCGCTTGAAAAATATGGAGACGAACGATGGAACATGAATCTCTCACATGGTAAACTGCTCTGAAGATTGCACAGGATAGGAAGGCACGGAAAGTCCTCTCCGTCGCCTCATGTGCCACTAGGCATTTAAAAAAAAACTTGATGATGATGTCATCCAAACAGGACAGCAGGTTACCTTGTCACTTAGCAACATCAGACGATCCTGTTATAACTATAGTATACATTTGAACATGATCTTTGTGATCTGCACGTACCTGAATCGCATCGAATGGTGTTACATCGAGCATTAAAAGTTTATGGCTGCGCACGACCATGCAAATCTAAGTTCACATTTTGAGAGCATGCATCTTTCCTTTAGCAACATACGGGTATGATTCTGGAACTTTCACAATCATTTAGGAATAAAATGTGGGCTTGTAGCTTGAATTGTATAGAAACATTCCTACAATACCAAGGACAAATGGTGGGGCCATTGTCCACTTATGTAAAACAAAGCAACTCGACCACGTTCAACCTACTGCGAACAGTATCGGTTATAATTGTGGTCTGGTTTCTTTGTGCCAATTATGTTGGCTAAGCAATGTAAATTGCAACAAAAGTAAAGAAAACTGCCTCATAAACAACATCTAGTCTCGGAAACTGAGATACTTTAATGATTTCATAAGTGACCTTAGATGGAGAGGACAGAAGCGGAGGGCCTGGTATCAGATAAAAAGACTAGGTCCCCACAGACAGGATGATGAGCACATGCCATAAAAGACATTGTTGTGTGCTATCTGAGTTACACATTAATCAGCACACTTCCAAGTGTCTAAAAATATAACTTTCGCTCCCTTACTCTCGAAGCAGGACTAGACGACAATAGCTCCGTCATACACTGGCTTTATTTAACAGAACACAATAGGG